GGGGGGGGGGGGGGGGGGGGGGGCCATCCATAGCGTTGTGTTTCAATTGGTCGCCGTGTGGGTCTGCAGGCCGTGGAGCTGTCCTTCCAGGCATTGTGTGGGTTGGATCATCTTCACAGCAAGGACACGGTGCACAGAGACATCAGGAGCGAGGTGAGGAGGAGGCTGGAGCAGTCGTGTGTCGAGATTAATCCCCCCCTCTCTCTCTCTCTCTCTCTCTCTCTCTCTCGGGGCAGAATGTGCTTACGAAGGGCGGCGTGATTAAGATCGCTTGCTTGGGTATGCCTTTTGGCCAGTGCACCCTGAGTGGAGAGGCAGCGCGAATAGTATCCCCTTGTGTGTGTTCATCCAGGCTGCGCCAGGAAGGTCGGCGATCAGCTGTCGGTAGCGAGCTCATGTGCACCTGCCTCGTAGTGAGCGTGCTGTGCTGCCTTGAAGGCGAGACACCATTGATTGACATGTCTGTCTGTCTGTCTGTCTTTCCTTTCATTCATTCATATGCTCAGCTACACAGCCCCAGAGCTGCGCGGGATAGACACGTCCATGATCTACGCCAAGGTAGGGTGAGCACACCAAGACACGTACGGTACGCATCTCATGCCTCTTACCCACCAACTGGATGCCATGCGTCTCTCTCAGGAGAGTGACGTCTTCTCTCTCGGCATCTTGTTGCTCGAAATGCTGTCCTTGACCCCGTTCCCTCATTTGCTGGCACATACGCGGCGGAAACTGCGAAAGAACAGCCCAACAGGCCGCAGGTCCAAAAGCAGAGAGTCCCGCAGCGAGGACGCCCAGACCACGTGCGCAGCAGCGATTCCTTTACGCGTGTTGCTTCCCGCCCTCATTGACGAGGCGCTGACGGCACTGCAGTGCGGAGGCCTGCGTAAGAAGGGCAGAGGAATCGGACACGATGAAAGGCTGGGAGCTCTGAGACAGATGCTGAGGCGAATGCTGGCCGCCGATGTGAAGAATCGGCCTTCGACTATGGAGCTGCTACAGCTGCCCATTTTTCTGAAGCTGTGTCAGGCACATCGGCCCGGTGCTTCACCTGTGGGGAAGGTACGTACGTACACGTCCACCGATGTGCATGCCACATGAACACACCCTCTCTAATGCTGGTCATTAGGATGAGAGTGAATCAGCAGCTCAGAAGGAGGACTGTGCGGTCTGCCAGGAGCACAAGATCAACACGAGGCTGCTGCCATGTCGTCACCAAGTCGCATGCACGGCTTGTGCACATAAACTTGGTATACGGAGAGTTCATCCGCCTTCAATCATAGCTATCAGATGTGAGTACTTTCCTTCCCTTTGCAGCCGAGTGTCCGTACTGCCGATCCTGCATTGTGTCCATCGAGGAGGGCAAGAAGTTTGGCCTCACTACCTACGATCAGCCACCTAACATCCCATCTGAGGACACCACTTGCAGCAGACAGCCCCCTCCGTGTGTGTCCAGGGCCGTCCAGTGCAGCCCAACGCCATCGCCTGTTGCATCGAAGCCCTCCGCAAGACAGCAGCACACGAACGGGGGCTTCTCGTGGCGAGACGTCCAGACCATCCTGGAGAGACCATCACAAGTTCCCGCGCTCCCTGTGCAAGAAACAAAGAGGAAACGAGCAAGTCGGCTCCACATGGACGGGATACTTTCACCACGGCTCGGCAGGAGAGACATCGTCTCTGCCAGTCGGCGCGCAAGCGGCTCTCTCAGCCCCTGTGGATCCCCTGCTTCCCCACTGACGACCAGACACCCTGCACAGGAGATCGCCACGCCTCGGACCGAGAGATGGGCGAGACAGCCGGGTCTCCTCGGCTGGAAGGTCCCTCTTTCGAAGCCCCCCATGACGACATTCAAGACGACACTCAAGATGGCGACTGGAGTTCAGAGGCTCAATCAGCAACCGTCACCTGTTCTTGCATTCCGAGAGAGCGTCATTCGAAAGGCCTCCCTCTTGTCGCCTCCCACATCGCCACGAGCGTCGAGGAATCGGCCCTACGTCATCACATCCCAGGCTCCTGCAACCACTGCTGTCTCGGCTGACGCAATCAGGCGTCCGCTTTCCCGGCGCGTCACGGTAGACGGCGAGCAAACGCCACAGAGAACGGCCACAACTGCCACCGATGTCAACGGTCTTCTCACCTACCGACGAAGCACTGGAGACGGAGGAATGAGGAACGAGGAGGGGAATGGTCGGCAAAAGGCAGAGACCAGACGCCGTCCGGGCCGCTCAAGCCCAGCAAAGACCCCTCCACATCGTGCAGACATGTCCGAGGCACAGACGAAGTCAGACACTCGACAATGCCACACCGGATTCTGACAGCACTCAAATCATTGCTCCCTCTCTCTGTATGCAGCAGCCGCCGTGCCAACAGGGTGAGACCGCCGAGGAGGCTGTGGCTGTGGACAGCATGGACTGGTTGGGACAGCATGTCGAGCTGCACGGCGGCCGCCACCCCCCTGAGGCGTTCAATCCTAGTGCGTACTTCGGTATGTAGCCGGAGGGCGGCAATCGGCCAGGCTACTACAGCCCTCCAGGCAACTACCGCCTGGATGCGGACGCCGCTGGTGAGCCGCACTTCGTCCAAGCGGCTGACCAGCAGCAGCCAATGGAGCCACAGCCACAGCAGGAGGGCCAGGGAGACGGCGGGGCGGCAGGGGAGCAGGAGCAGCAAGGGGTTGATGTGCCGGTCGTCCCCCCCTCCCACCCTGAAGCAGCAATCGGCCAGTCTGGCATGCAGGCCGAGGGCTTGCAGGCCAGCAGTGGTGAGGCGTCCCCGGCGGTTGTTGCTCCTCAGCCCCAGCTGCAGCCAACGCCCGCGGTCGTGCCTCCATCTACCCCCAACTCGACCCACTCCATCGCTCCCCCGCCACCCATCGCCGTGGCCGTGGAGTCACCGCAGTTTCCCCCGCCTGAGGGGCAGGGGGAGGGTGCGGGTGCGGGTGTGTTGGCGCCTCCGACTGTGGAGCAGCCTGTCGGTGGTGGTGAGGGAGGGGTCCCTGTGATGGTGCAGCCATTTGTGCCGCAGCAGATGATGCCCCCTGTGCCCCCTGCGGCCTTCTTCCCGGCTCATCAGGCCATGCTGGCGTTGGCGGCCATGGGGGACGGCACGCAGGCGCCCATCATCATGCCCATGGCGCCCCAGGGAGGTGGGCAGGTGTTTGGCCCCGCAGTTGGGATGGCTGTGGGCATGGTAGCGGCTGCACCGCCACCGCCCCCGCCTTATGCTCCGTGGCCGTCAGTCCACTACGAGCAGGGGCTTGTCAACAGCCCACCACCGCCCGCATCTGAGGTAGGTAGGGGAAGCACCACACAAACCGTGATTGAAGACATCACCCCATGCAATGCCAACAATTTGTGTTGCGTGTGCGATGTATGTATGTGTGCAGCAGCAGGGTGGTTATGCTGCCGGAGGGATGCCATCCCCCGGTTCGCCCCAGAGCAACGCCACGAGCCGCCCGCCGCCCCCGCCACTCACGCCCTCGCCTCGCACCCACAACCAGCACAACCACCGCACCGATCATCGCAACGGCCGACAGCAGGGAGGTCATAGGCAGCAGGGCCAGCCCGGTGCCACCCAGTACCACCACACGGCCACCAACCGAGGTGTGGCGGCCGGTGGCTACGCTGCCCACCACGGGCAGGCGGCGATGATGAGCGGCCAGCAGCACCAGCAGCACCAGCAACACCAGCAGCAGCAGCCCATGCAGCATCAGCACCAGGGCGGCTATGGAGGCTGGGCAGGGGCCAACGCCAGTGGTGGCGGCAACGTGTATGCCGCGCAGCAGCAGCAACACCAGCAGTATCAGAACCAGCCCGAGCACCAGCACCATCCCCACCACCAGCAGCCGGCGTATGGCGGGTATGGGCCGGCTTACACCGCCTACGGTGCCAACAACGGGCAGATGAACCAGTACGGCAATACCCAGCCCCACAACCAGCAGCAGCAGCAGCAGCAGAGATTCCCCACCATCCTGCCCAGCCCAGGCTCCGATGGACAGCAGCATGGCAACTACCGCCACAACGGAAACAACCGACGGAACGACCGGGGCGGCGGATGGCGCAGCCCGCGAGGCGGGCCAGGAGGCAATGGGGGTGGACCGAGAGGAGGACGCAACGGACGAGGAGGCGGGCCAGGAGACAGCCGCGGTCGCCACTAGGAGATCCCCCACCTGAGGGCGCGCTGGACGTCTGTTTTGTGTTTTGGGACGATTGGATGGCGGGGAGGGGAGGGGGGAGGGTGTGTGACTACATTTGTATGGATGCGTGGGTGATTGACTGACCGTTTCCTCGACTCGGCTGTTTGGATGTCTCTATCTACCTGGCTGCCATGGTGTCACGCTGGCGAGGTGGCCGGCCGGTGGACACATCTCGACTTCTTGGCGTATTGCGGCTCGCTGTCTGGCTGTTTGCTTGCTAGTGACATACATGGCCGGGTGTGTGTGTGTGTGTGTGTGAAGGGGAATGAGATTGCATGCCCGATAGCTAACACAACAGCAGTAAATATGACTCATTCCACACCAGCGAGACAGACAGACAGTGTGTGTGCGCGAATGGGTGAAGAAGGGGCATTGAGCACATTGTTTGTTCGGTGCTAAGTGTGGCTGCGAGGGAGGGGAGAGAACGGAGAGATAGGGGAGGGAAGTTAGTTATGCGTCTCTGAATATTATATCGTGTCTGTGTCCGTTTCAAAAGAGGGAGGGTCGTGCGTGGCTGCGAATGAGTGTGTGGATGAGAGAGAGGGGGATGTCGGTCGGACAAAAGACAATCGAGCTGTATTCAACAGCAATGTTACAGCATAGTCCAAACAGGCACTGAATCTCAAACTCAGAATTTGAAGTCAATTTTGGGGCTCATGGCGATCATCGCTATATTTGGATATTGAGACACACATTGCAGTTGACCTGGTATCCGTGTCCCTCCCTCCCTGCCCCTACTTCGCCGCCATGTTGCGGCAGGCACCGCATGAGTGAGATACCACTCATGTCAGTCAGAGAAGTCAGAGCCACACACTCTCTCTCTTACAAATGCCATCTGTCTGTACGTATCACGCATACATGTGCTTGCTACACAGGTGAGACAACACACACAAAAGCCGCCTGTACACACATCACACACACATATACAGATCTCTCTCCCCTCAGTCATTCATTCATTCATTCATGTCTGCGGCGGTCCACACGTTGCCCTGTCCTGGTCGAGCACCGACACACGCCCCAGCACGTCTGTCGTCACACTCGCGGGGACGCCAGCGGCAGCAGCAGGGGGCACCGTGTCGTCAGACTCCACTGTCAGGGAGCGGCCACTGGTCGATGTGGTGGCGACGGAGCGGCTCATCTCTAATGCGTTATTGTCATCAGGGGAGGGGACCGGCTTACTCTCCAAAGTCGACAAAGGGGAATAGGCCTGTTTACACGCACACAGACACGAAGAGAAGGACGCACGTGTGTTCTATAGCCTTGGGCATGTGTGTATGTCATACCATAAGTAAGAAGGTGCGGTGCGCTATGCAGGGGGTTGCTCTACCTGAGCATTGGGCGGGCGCGACTGCACTTGCCGGCTATCGTAGACGAGCACACCCAACCCGATCACCACACTGACACACACATCGATATCGGCACACAACCAATCAACAAACCGACAAACCACCAAACCACATCTCTTTGCGTGTTGCTGTGTTGCTGGTGCATTCATTCATTCGCGACTTACGCGATGCCGCCGAGAGCGTTCCATGACGGGAGGCTGAGTGCGCCGGTGGGGTCGAGATGCAGCACCACCAGCAGGCAGGTCAGCAACACGGCCGTCACTGGCTGAAGTACTGATGCATTCATTCATTGCACACACAGAGGGAACGAACGATGAATGCAGCCGGGCCGGGCAGACAGACACGTCCGTGCAAGCACAGCTAGCTACGCACCTCACTCACCTGTGTATGCCGCCACCATGGATCCATCGACGTATTTGTTCGCCCAGGTCATCAGCAGATACCTGAAGACACACACAGCACACAGCACGCACGTACAGTGAATACATACATCTTCCCTCCCCCCATGCCCATTGATTGGATCACTCACGTGGTAACAGAGCTGCCAATAACCCAATAAGCAAGCGCCCAGAGAGCGTCGGGGGGCACCCCCCAGGCAGACGGGCAGTCGGGACACACCAACTCAAGGAAGGGCTTGTTCAAGTTGACGATGAGCGCCGCCACGAGCATCATCACGGCCGCATTCATGTACGAGAAGGCTATGACGAAGGGCGACGGTATTCTATGTCGCTGCAGCAGTGGCTTGGACGCCACAAGGTAGAGGGAGGTGGACAGGCAGTTGACGAAGAACAACATATTGCCGACGAGCATCCCCCGCCAAGACTGCTGCGTGTGGGGCGTTGGGGCGCCGGCGACCACCAGCACCACCGCCCCAAGGGTGCCCAAGGAGATGCCCACGCCCTTCATCGGGCTCATGGTCTCCTGACCCACAATGATAGCCAGTATCACCGTCATGATGGGCTGCGACGGCTGCCAACTCGCCGCGCTCGTCTCGTCCGCCATCTTGAGACCGACCAGGTAGCAGAACTGAGCACCAAACCAAACACATGAGGCGAGATCAGACCAACAGTCGCATAGGAGAGATCCTGCGGCACACTTGTACCTGGTTGCCGAATAGGAAGAGTCCGGTGAGGAGGAATGTCCGCCAGTGCCTGTGCACGGGCGGGATGCGGTGGTTCTTCTCGATTCCGATGGCTATCAGCAGCAGAATCGGCCCCGCGATGGCCTCCCGGATGAGTGCGAACTTGAGAACCGAACCAAGACAAGGGTCAATCAAGAGAGAGAGAAGCTTGCAGCTGGAGCAAGAAAGAAGCTTAGCTTACAAGCACGGGATTGAACTTGGGCATGCCCAGCTTCCCAACCTGCCATAGACACACGCAGAGAGAGGGCGAGAGTGGAGTGTGTCTGGGTCAGTGGCGGGTCGATTTCGGCAGCCACGCACCACAGCACCACCGCCAAAGAGCACTTGGGCGAAGATCAAAGCGCCATGCAACCTGCACACACACACACACACACAGGGACAGCCATGGTCACCACGACAATCGCTGTCTTTCAGTGTGGGGCGTTTTCATCTGACATGAGTTCTGAAGGATGTGCCTTCTCCTTCTTGCCCTTGTCCTCGCTGGGCGTGGCTGGATCTTCCATCGCCGTGGCCTCCTGCACTCAGACACACACACACGCACGGAAATCAAGACAAGATGAAGATCTTTATCACACGTACACGGGACGATCTCACCTCCATGTCGATGTCTGCTGAGGTGCGGACGCCAGCAGCACTTGTCGGCGTAAGACTGTCGGGTCCTTCAACCATCTCAGGCCATCTCAGCTAAGTACTTACTTCTTGCAACGATGCTCAGTTCCTTGCTCTGCTACCTGCTCTTGTTGCGCGATGAGCACTGCTCACCTTCCGGTCGAAATAATACGACAGGTCACCTCATGCGACTCTGGCTCGGCACATTGGCATTTCTTGCCCTTCTGGCAGGGCTTTCGGCAGCCGACAATAACGGCAAACACCCCGTGCAGCAGCAGCCGCAAGGACAGGAGGGACACACACAAGAGCACGGCGAGCTCATCAAAGGCGGTCTGGTTGGGGGGGAGGAGAAAGGCGACCACTGGGGGGACCGCCGCAAAGAGCTCAGGCTGGTGCGGGAGATCAACAAGGACGGCAAGCGGGTCAGCGACAGGATCAGCGACATCGCCGACGGGCTGACCAGGGACATCTTCCGTCCCAACGCGGGCTTACACGACGCGGAGACCGACAAGGGCAGGGTGGTCCAGAATGACGGCCAAGGCGGCCAGAAGTTCACACTGCAGCAGCCGCCGCCGATCAAGCTCTCGGCGGCTGACAAGGCGGCCTTATCTGTGCTGGGCGGCGACCACGAATTGCCGACCTACGAGGTGATCCTCGAGGTCGACAAAGACCAGGGGCGAGCGCTGATGTGGTCGGCGAGATACCCGCCTAAGAAGCCTGACAAGAAGAACCCGCGTTACATCATCCGCCAGTCCCCTCTGGGCATCACAGTTGACGGCATTGACCTCGGCAAGGGCGTCAAGATTTTGGCCCACGACACCACGACGGAGCAGCTGCGATACCGCACCAGGGGGAAGCACAACCAGGCGCTCAGCTACTATCAAGAGCACCGCTTCCGCATCGAGCATGTGGAGAGCAAGAAGGAGTTCTTCCTGTTGATGCGGCTGTATCGGGAGGGCGTGGCCTTCCGCTACGCTTTCAACTGGAAGGGCGGCCACACCATCACCAGGGAGGAATCCTCCTTCAGGGTGCCCTTCAAGTCAATCGCATGGTCAGAGAGAGGACAAGCAAGAAGGCCATGAGAGAGGAGCAACAGACAACGAGATGGATGCTGACGTACTGTACTTGTGCAGGCACTTCACTCGTGAGAGCAACGTGCCGAACGACCAAGGCAAGTTCCACTACGCCGGGCCCTGGACGTCCGCACCCGTCGAGCTCCTGGCTGACACGCAGTACCTGAAGGAGTGGCAGCGGCCCATCGGAGCCATCTACGGCCCCCCACTGCTATTCGACACAAGGCAGACCGTCCTCAACCAAAAGAGGCACGAGGGCAGCGAGTTTGAGGAGCTGCCGCCGCCTTCGCGCCGCTACCAGTACATCATGCTGACGGAGGGGGCCTTGTATGACTACACCGGCTTTGTCTTTCGCGCACAGCCGAGGCTGGTGTTCCGGACGGACTTTGTGGTGGCGGAGATCGCCGTCCCCGGCCAGTTCATGACCCCCTGGCGGGTCGCCATCTTCGCCAGGGACCTCAACGAGCTCGTCAACCAGGACATGGTGACCAGCCTCAACCCAGAGCCGCCAAAGGAGCTCTTCCCGCATCTCCATTCGCGGCACATCCCGCGACAGGGCGGCCTCTCGAAGGAAGACGAGCTGCCCGACTTCCCCTCGTGGATTGTCCCTGGCAGGTCTGTGTGGCGCTGGTGGTCCTCCTCCACCGGCGACCCATTGCAGGAGCTGCACATGATTAAGTGGGCGGCGGAGCTTGGCTTCGAGTACGCCACCATCGACATCGGCTGGGAGCGGTGGGGCAAGGGTGTGCCCGGCGGGGAGAGCGGGCCTGTGATCCGCACCGGCAAACACAAGGGCACGCACGTCTACGGCCTGGAAGACGACATCGAGCAAGACTACTTTGAGGCGGCGCCACAGCGGGTCAGCAACACGACCCTGCGTCTGCCGGTCCCCCCACTCTACACCAATGCGACCAATGTGACCCTCACGCTCACCCCCGATGGACTCGGCAAGCAAGTCGAGGATGACTACTTCATCGACTGGGAGAGGGAGGCAAATCGGCAGTATTGGGAGGAGGGCGAGAACCGCTTCGTCGATCCTTTCCACAACCCCATCCACCCCGCACTGGTCGCCGACATCGACCACGGCTTCGGAGATGTCGACTTCACCGACGACGCACAAGTGGAGGAGAACATCCCAGATGATGACTCGAGCGCCTGGCTCATCCTCAAATACCTCATCGAGTACGCCAAGGCCAAGCGCGTGAGGGTCATCGTGTGGAAGGACTACCGCGACGTCAAGACCTTCGACAAGAACGGCCGCTTTTGGCCACTGGAGGAGTACCTGGCGAAAGTGGCCAAGGTGGGGGCGTCGGGCGTCAAGATCGACTACGTGCTGTCTGAGGCGCAGGAGAGGGTGCTGTTCGAGACCGAGGCGGCCAGAATAGCCGCCCAGCACAAGCTGACCATGACCTTCCACGGCACACACAAGCCCACCGGCGAGTGGAGGAGGTTCCCAAACGAAATGACAAGAGAGGCCATATGGGGCATGGTTGGTACACACTGGCAGACAGACAGACAGACAGGATGTGTGATGTATGCATTCGGTGTGTTCCTTCTGTCTGTCGTCGGTCAGGAGATCAACAAGATAAAGGAGCGGGCCCGCTGGGTGACGCCGAGGCACAATGCCGCCCTGCCCTTCACGCGCTTCGTCGTGGGCCACGGCGACTACACCCCATTCGTCATGAGGGCGTCCAAGAGAGACCCCACTACAATCGTATGTGCCTCACCACAATCAACAGACAGACAGCGACACACCCACACACACACACGCCACATCTGTTTGTCTGCATCCTGCCTGTTTCTGTGTGTTGTGTGGTTGTGTTGTGTGCAGGTCCATCAAATGGCGCTGCTCGTGGTGTTCGACTCGGCCATCCAGACGATAGCCGAGCACCCCCTGGTCCTTCTCGACTCATCCAGGCCCCACTACGCCATCCTCGACGTCGTCAAGAAGATCCCCACCCTCTGGGACGAGACAATCGTGCTGCCAGAGAGCCAAGTCGGCTCCCTGGTCGCCTTCGCCAGACGCAAGGGCGACACGTGGTTCCTCGGCATCATCAACGGCGAGTCCGGGTCGCAGAAAATCGACAGCCTGGCCCTGCCATTCATCGACAGCCACAAGGAGGGGTGGAATGCGACTCTCATCAGCAGCAAGCCGGAGGAGATCGAGTTGAAGAGCGGCAAGAACATCGTGGTGGGTGCGGTGGAGCGAAGGGAGGAACCGTCGTTTGGCGAGAACAAGCTGACGGAGATCAACCTCTTGGGGGGGGACGGCTTCGTGGGCGTTTTCGAGCCGCTCTGACACCTGCCTGCCGCGACAAAGAGTGTTTCGTGTGTGTATGTTTGTACGTATGTCTCTTCTCTCGCCGCTTAAGTAGTGCCATACCTATGTCTGTCTATTTTGGTCCGTCCGGTCCGTGCACTCTGTACTTACTTGCGTCAGCATGTACGTATCTGGATTTGTGTATTTGTCTAGCTAGGAGTGGGTATTTGTGAAGCATATAGGATGTCTGTCTCGGTGCTTAGTGTGTGCGGTGTTGCCAGCATGAGCCTCTACGTGCGTTCCTTTCCATACCCCCCGTGGGACGGGACTGTGTGTCGTGTGCTCCTTCCTTTGTGTACGTGTATTTGTTGGCCTGTGTGGGTATTCGTAGCTCAGCTGGCCGGCCGTGACTCTGTCTGGGCGTTCATGGTTCATGCTATCCCCCCGTGTGTGAGGCCGTGCCGTGTGGATCGTTCGTATGGTATGAGTGTGTGCCCCTTTGTATAGGCATAGGGCGTGTTTCGCCGCCTGCTGTGCTGTGTCGTATGTGTGTGTGTGAGGTGTTGACCAACCATCCACCGGTAGTCAGTCAATTACATGAATGAACCATGGCATGCACCAACATTCCACAGACGGCTTAATGTTACTACGGACACACAACACAGCCCGTTGGCTGCTGCACCATTAATGCACACACGGGACGTATCAAACATGGTCTGTCTGGTCTCACTGCCTGTGTCGTGTCGACACGCACAGACCATGCATAGAAATGGAACAGGACAAGCCCAGGTGGGCACGTACGTACGCATGTGCACAGCTACTTACTGCATTGATTGGAACCCACAATTAAAGACCTCTATCAATACACACACCCCAGACAGACAAATAAATACAGACAGATAGATGCTATCTATCCATTCCTGCCTGCCCGTCTGCCAGCCTGCCTGCTGGCTGTGTACCCACCACACAGCACCGTCACGGGGGGGAAACGGCCGAGCGGGACAGAAACCAACCTATCTACTGTCATGGTGCTATTCACCCACCCCCTCACGCGTGTCCCTCTAGCTCCCCCTCAGCCGGCGTCTCATCGGTCAAGGCACCACAATCACGAGGGCCATGCACCACCACACGTCCGCCGCCCTCCGACCCCGATGGGTGTGGTGGTTCGGGGTCGGCCAGGAGGATGCAGTTGGACGGGTGGGAGGCGTCACCAAGAGGCACGTCAGGCAAGAAGGCAAAGCCTGCACAGGGACAGACAGACCAAGAGAGAGAGACATGCTTATCAACTGACTCATCTGTGTGTGTGTGGGGGGGGGGGGGTCATACTTTGGCAGTGTTGGCGGCGAGAACACATGCCTTGACAGTCGGCTGGGTCAATGGCTGCCAGGTACTCCACCGCTCGGCCCGCTGCCACGCCATCCAGCCCATCAGACGACTGGCCCCGGCTGAAGCCTGCATGCACCCAGCTAGGTAGACATGGACGCACAGCGGGCTGGCTGGTGGGTGGCTGGCTTACACCCTGCTGGTATGAGACTTGGAAACTGCTGGAACTCGCCTTCCTCCTCCTCGCCGTCTCCGTCGTCCTCCGATCGCAATGTGGTGGCGGCCGGCCTCAGCTTGCCCGCGCCACCCTTGTGCTTCGGTGCAGCCCACCGTTGGGCCTTCCCCGCCTTGCGCACCACACGGTAGACCTTGGGCTTGCCCACCATAGCCGTGACGCTCAGGCCCTTCTTGTTGACGGTGCTGCAGTCGCCCCAGAAGAGCCAGTTGCAGACGCGTGTGCCTGGGGGTCGCATGGCGTCGGGGAGGCTTTTTGGGGGGATTTGGATTGAGTACTTTTTGCCGCTGCCGGATGAGCTCGTGACGACCAGCACGTCCGAGCCGCGGGAAAAGGCGTAGATATTGGGGGTGACCTGCAGACACACAGACACACAGACAGACAGACGGAGAAAGGGTGTTTGTTGTCTCTCGCTGCGTGAATGTGTGTGGGGCGAGTGTGATTGTTCGTACGAATCTCTGTATCTGTTCGCCTTCGAACATGCCGCTGCGACGAAACTTCGCAAGCAGCTGAGTAGCTGACATACCATGCAGATATGCATACCCATCATTCATTTCAGCCGGTGTGTCTGTCTGTCTGGATGAGCGTGCGTCGCCTGCGCACCTACCTCTATACAGGACGTGCTCGGTGTTGTATGGGTCCTCATGCTTCCACATGGGCACGCGCGAGCCGTGATAGCGAGGTTCACCGCCGGAAGCGCCTGTGAGATGAGATCGATCGCCACATGCACTGCACACCACATCTGCCCCACCCCGCCTGCCTCTTTGTTGCTCGCCTTGCCTTGTTCGTCGCCATAATAGAGCACGGGAATGTGGACAGCGCACATGAGCCACACGAGCGCATTCAGGTAGGCCACCTGGTCGTTCCGCACGTGCATAAACCTGGGGACGTCGTGATTGTTGATAAACAGAGCAGCCGCATGCTTGTCGTCGATAAGCGTCTTGGTGGCCGTCCATGCGTCGACCACCACGCTCATCGGCTGACGGCTGGCGAAGGCGCTACGAAGAGCAAAGGCCAGCGGGAAGTTGGTCACCTGCACGTTGAATGCAATGCGTGAATGAATGAAGCTGAGTCGGTTGGTTGACAGTTAGTTCATCTCTTTCTCGCCCACCCCGGGAATACGCTTCTGATACTTCGCGACGTGCTTCACCTCTGGCACGAAGGTCTCGCCCTGCAGCCATCCATCCATCCATCCATCCATGAGAGGGAGGGGGAGCGACATGGAGAGAGAGAATGGATGAAGGCCTGGCTGGCTGGCTACCTGCTTATTACCATGATGTAGTATTTGCTGCCGATTTGTTTGCCGATTTCGTCGAGGAATACGTCACGAAGGTACGGGATGGCGTCGGCACGGAAACCGTCTTGAGCGATCGATGAGTGAGTTGGCAGACAGCGAGACAAAAGAGCAACTGGTGGATGTGGCCAGTCGATTTCTTGATTGTCTTGCCTACCGAAGTCGTATTCCTTGGCTTCGTCCTTCACCTGCACACACACACAGACAGACAGACAGACAGACACACACAGAGCGAGAAGTGTGCGCATCCATCCATCCATTCATGCGACACGGAGCCGCCCACCCATTTGATGAGCCATTTGCGGACTTCTGTGTTGTCGTCGTTGAGGTCAGGGAGGTCCCACAGCTGGCACGACTGGAAGGTATCGGGCTTGGTGAACTCCACGTGACAATCAGAGGGGTGGAAGTGCTCCGGCTTGTTGAACGGATGAAGGTGCTTACGATTCTTCTCTGGACCCATGTGATTCAGCACTGCACATAACATACGCACACACGAAAGCACCCAGTGTGTGTTAACATCGATTGCCGGTGTATGTGTGTGTCTACCGATGTCAGCCATGACCCAGAGGCCCTTTTGGTGTGCTTCTTCGGTGAGTTTCTTGAGCTGCCTCTTGCCGCCAAACTCATCTGACACCTTGTTGTAGTTCCGCGGCCAGAAGCCGTGATACCCACACTTGGTCTGCACACACACAGGCAAGCGTGGTCGGTCGACCAACGATCAAATGCTTCGATACGCCTGGCATACGTTTTGAATGTGCGGCGAGATCCAGAGGGCCGTCACCTGCGTGTTTGTCATCGCAGCAGGCGATGCGATGAGAGGATCAGCCAGCCGTGACAGTGAGTCAATGAATCGTGGTGTATGTGTATGTATGTATGTATGTATGTATGGCTGACTGGCTTCATTACCCCGAGCTCGGCGATGTAGTCGAGCTTCCTCCTCAGCTCCTTGTAGCTCCCGCCGCAGAAGCCGCCCTCAGCACAGTCTGTCATGACAGTCACAACACAAGACAGACAACACAGCAGAACCAACCGAGCATGGATGGCTCCTCGTCTTGCGGATTTGTGTCCATACCTGGGTCGCACGTCACTCCAGGGTCCTTGGCGGCGAAGCGGTCTGTAACCACCTGATAGATGATGCTGAAGGAGGCAAAGACAGATGCTCAGCGGGTCGTCGGCTGCGAGTTGCTCACCTTCGCCGTCCAACCCAGTCGTCGCGTGTGCGCGATTTGCCGCCAACAAGGAGGTCACCAAAGCCCCACAGCAGAAACACGAAGACCGCGAGTAGAGTCGAGTGCAGCCGCCTCTTCCTCATCCTCATCGGCAGCGCTGTCTGGTTAACCTGCCGTGCAGGTGCTTTCTCACGTCGGCGGGCCTTTCTTCCCTTCAACCATGGTGCGATGCTATATCGTATTATTTGTGTCGCCTGAACCCTAAGCCCCGACATCCATCCATCCATCAGTCCATGACACGTATCCTATAGTCACTCACTACATGTCGTCCATTGTTCACATTCATCAATACACACAGTGTCATCATGGGTTTCATTTCTTGAGTGTCGGTTTCGCAATGCCAAGCTCAATAAGACACAAAACAGCGTCACGGACGCTCTCTTCTAATGGCCGATACTCAATGCCCAGCTCCTCTATGCTCCTGCACAGACAGGCAGACAGACAGACAGACAGACAGACAGAGAGACAGGCAGACAGACAGACAGCCGCGTACATGCAGAGGATGGCCGACGTTGAATGGGTGTGTGCCTGCCTGGTGTTGTCGAAGGCCACTGTCATCTGCAGCTCGTCAAGGTTGTCGGGCACCTCAAACGCATACTCAGGGACGGTCTGCTGCGCCATCGATGCCAGGATGCCCGCGGGAACTGCAGCCAACCAGCCAGCCAGCCACAATCAGCAAACATGCTTCAATGACCGTCGCCATCTGACCGAATTCTCTGCCGGCCAGCAAGTACCGCTTCCCATCGGTATTGGGGCGCTCGGCGGCTCGAATGTGCGCAAGTGCCTGCAGACACACGCATGGACATCACAGCGCCAGAGATGCCGGTGTGTGTGTCGTTTATGTGCAAAAAGACCGTTTCTCGCACGTCAACGATAGGAGCTAGGATTTCCTTGTAGAAGGCCCCTGCGGATCAACAGCCACCCGCAGCACACACAACAATGGAAGGCTCGCCCATGCAGCAGGCTTGCCCTTTCTCCTCACCATGTTCGACAAGCGAGATCCCCCACTCGACCGACAATGTGTCTGGCTTCCGAGAATTTGGTGGGCCGATGACGAGGCCTGGCAAGATGGTGGTCAGCGGAATGCCGCTCTCCTCGGAATACCTCCACCCGACCTTCTCGGCTTGCACCTGACGATTGATGCTCTTGATGATGCAGGACACTTTCGCGTGTGCCTGTGCGTCTTCTTGCCTTGGAATAGTGGTACGGCGAGAGCTTGCCTCTCCCCTCCTTCTCGACCTTTTGCTGGAAGGCCGTCAAGGCGGCCGTCTTATCCGCATCGTCCATACCACGCAGAGTGCCTTTCACATGACAGCCTGCACCACGCGGGTGGCATAGGTGTCATGCAGGGAATCAAGTAGTCTTGCTCACCTTTTTGGAGCAGTTGCTCCACCAGATGCAACGCGATATATCCTGAAAGATGTATGCCACCCCAGTTGTGCCACCCAAAACAGGAATCAATCTGTATGGTACTTTTCTGCTTACCAGTCGCCCCAGTCACGCACACGGTTGCCCCGTCGAGAGGCGATGCTTGTCCTCCCTCCGGCATCGATATCCTGCAAAAAAGTGAAGGTCTCCTTGGCGAGCTACGGGCGAAATTATAGTACACGTAACGGCTGGAGCTATACGTGGATATGCACAAGGGAGGCTTGGACGTCATGGGGAGATGCCTCATCGTGGGGCTGTCCATATTTAACCTGGCAGGTGGGCGACGAGACTGCAACATAACAGCAGACACAAACAAATAGGCAACGGACACGCTCTTGCCTTGTGTGTGTGTCTGCAGCTGCTCAATGGAGGCCGCCGAAGCCGCCACCAAAGCTCGACAGCACCCTCCACTCTATACACCGGTTACGGGCCGACTCGGCGGCTTTTCAGAACTCCCCGTGGGCGGCCTCCGGCAAAAGCCTGATGGTCCACTTCAAAAACGAGACCCACGTCATGATCGACGCTGTGGCCGCAGAGAGCGGCGAAGAGCTGCTCCGAGAGCTCGAGGAAATGGGCCTCGTCGAGGGCTCACAGTTCTCCCACTTTGTCAGCGGCTTCCTGCCGATTGAGGCGATTGAAAAGTTGAGCGAGATGCCGTCGCTGCAGTACGTCGGGCCTGCGGCGGTGACCACTCAGGGTGCTCTCGATATGGCTCTGAGGAAAGGGGCTGATTTGTTGCCGGCGATTGACAAGAAGCTCATGTTGGAGCAGGAGGACAGGAAGAACCTGGCGGGGAGTGAGAAAGAGAGGGACCCCAAGGCACGGGGGGACGTCATTTCTGAAGCTGACTCGGCCTTGCGGACGTCCAAGGCTCGCGAGGAGATGGGCCTCACGGGGAAGAACCTGGCAATCGGCATTCTGTCCGATTCTTTCAATCAGGTGGGAGAAAGGCGACCGTCAGGTCTGCGAGTGTGTGTGTGTGTGTGCGTTCTGTCACCGCTTTGTGTGATCGTGCTGACTGACAACCAGGGCGGGGACAAGTTGCTGACGACGGCAGAGGACGATATGAAAAACGGCGACCTGCCTCCTAAAGAGATGATAGAGATGCTCAAGGAGGGGCCATCGGGCAGCGGCATGGACGAGGGACGCGCAATGTACGAATGGATGGATGGTAGATGGAACAGACACACGCCACAATGCTATCCCTCTGTCTGCCTCTGTGTGTGTCTGTGTGTGTAACGGTCAGGATGCAGCTCATTCACGAGTAAGCACAGCACCTTGGTCAGAGAGGCAGCCACTTAAAGGTGTCCAGCCACGTATGTGTCCACATGTCTTGTCTTTGCAGCATTGTCCCCGAATCGAGAATAATATTCCATTCGGCCTTCGGGGGGCTGGCTGATTTCGCAAAGGGCATCATCCGCCTGTCCAAGGCTGGAGCCGACGCAATCGTCGACGATGTGGTACGCCACACACACCGCACCGCGCCAAGGCGCGCACAAAGGCGGCACGACAGGCATCCGTCCGTCTGTGTGTCAGATATACTACCGAGAGCCCATGTTCATGGACGGCCTCATCGCGCAGGCAGTCGATTTCGTGGCCAAGAAGAAAAATATCCCCTACTTCAGCGCGGCCGGCAACAACGGCAAGAAGGGCTACATGTCTGAGCTGCGAATCACCGACAAGAAGGCGCACGACGGCCGCCTGCACAACTTCGACTCACGGCCGGGCAAAATGGCCGACAAGCTCAAGATCAAGGTGCCGCTGGGCTCGCGAGCGCTGCTGGTGATGCAGTGGGACGAACCGTACTTCAGCGCGACGCAGAAGAAGTCGGCGTCGTGCCAGGCCGACCTGGACGCCTACCTGATGAACAAAAAGGGCGAGGTGGTGTCCTATGGCGGCAACACTGACAACCTCAACAACGACCCGGTATGTCAGAAGGAATGCGAGACAGACTGCATGGAAGCAAGGATGGATGGATGCTCTCATTGTGTTTGTGTTGGCTCGTGTTGTGTTGTGTTGTGTTGTGGTGTGTTGTGTGTGGTGTGTAGGTGGAGATGTTTGAGTTCCAAAACGACGGGACGATCAAGGACAAGGCCGAGGCCGACCAAGTCATCCTGAAAAAACGCAAGGGCAAAGGCAAGGGCAAAGGCGACGACGAGGAGGAAGAAGACGACGACCAGGAGCAGGAGGAGGAGTTCTATTTGCAAATCGTCCAGGCAGGCGGCAAAGGCAAACCCAAACACGTCAAGTTTGTCCTCTACGGCTCAGCCAACGTCGAGATTGAACGAATCGGCTCAGCAGCAGATGATGACGAACAGACCGACGAAGACCGAGACGAAGACGAGGCCCATCCCTTCAACCTGGCCGACGCATCCACGAGCACCCTTTACGGCCATGCCAACGCCGAGATGGCAGTGGCTGTGGGTGCGATCTTCTACGGCAAGACGCCCGAGTTTGACGACAATGAGGTTGACTGGGTGCCGGAATCGTTCTCGTCTTACGGGCCACAGCCCATTACCATGGATGAGGCGGGCAAGCGGCTTAAGGAACCCATTGTGCGGAACAAACCCGATATCGTCGCACCCGACGGGTGAGAGAATGACGGACGTATGGGTCGTCTCGTCTCCCTGCCCTCCTGCCTACCTGCCTACCTGCCTGTATGTGTCTCTGTGACGTTGTGTGTGTGAGTGCAGGCCCAACACGTCTTTTTTCATTCCTGGCCTCGACATCGAGCATGACGGTCACTTCAATTTCATGGGTACGCCGACTGCACACATGCCGCCGATAGTCCAGCTGTGTGTAATGTCTCCCTCGTGTGTGGGTGTCCCTGTGTGAGTGCAGGTACGTCAGCTGCGGCCCCTAGTGCTGCTGCAACGGCGCTGATGATGAAACAGGCGAACCCAGACATAACTGTCGAGCAGATCAAGACGATACTCGTCGACACGGCGATTGACATGCACGGTGGGTCCACACGCACTCGTGTCAGACAGACAGACAGAGGTACAGGCACCTTGCCACACGACCTGCATGTGTGTGTCCATCCAGATCCGCTGGCCGAGGACCCCAACAAGGGAGTTGGTTTCGACTGGGGGACTGGTGCGGGTCTGATCGACGGCTGGACTGCCGTGCAGGAGGCGGCCAAGCTGGCTGAGGAAGACGATGAAGACGAAGGCAAGCAGAAGGGCAAGCGCAAGCCAAGAGGGGGGAAGAAGAAACAAGACAAGAAGGAAGACAAAGACGAGGATAAGAAGGAGGATGAAGACGAGAAGGAGGAGAAAGAGGATGACGAGAAAGAGGAGGAGAAGCCGGAGATGGCAACCGAGAGGAGGACACGATCACGATAGCACCTGTTCGTGTGCATGGGTCGGTCGGTCGGTTTGGAGGACCGATGGATGGACGGATAATTACATGTGTCTTGCTAGCAGCCAGTGGGGCGGGCGGGCGGGGGTGTGGCTTTCCTCTCTTCTTGTTTTTGCCCTCCCTCGCTCCCGCCCGTGTGACGGCGTGTGCGTGGCTGTTTGGGCGGGTGTGGTGTTGATTACTGGTTGGGCTTTAAGTGCGGGCGGGTTGTGAGTGAGTCATGCGGCCCTCACTAAGTGTATTGTGGGCTGCGGTAAGATAGCCAGCCCTGTCAGTCATTCGTTGCACTACTAGCATCATCTCATGGTCCATCATCTTTTTTCCTGTTGCTGTGCCCGCCCACGCCCGTGGGCTGAGCAAGCGACTGCATCGATCCATCTTACCCTCACTCTCCTCTTTGTGCGTGTGTGAGGTATGTGTGTCTGCCTAAAGGTCTCGGTGGTTAAAGACAAAATGGTTGCTTGAATTAAGAACACTTGGAAGCCGTGTACTATTATTTCCGCTCCGCTCCACTCAAGCCAGAAATGGCTTTGGAGTGGCGCTTGCTTTCCCTCCGGGTAGCCCTGGGGCTCCCGCTGGCCATCGTGTTGCTCCTGTCACTCGCTGCGGCCGCTGCCTCGGAGGACGCGCAAACAACGGTCACCGTAAGAGCGCTGCAAAGTGACGTCGTGGACGCCGAGGAACTCAAGAAGGAGAGGAGCCACAAGAAAAGCCGCGGCAAGGCCAAGAAGAAGAGAGAGAAAAAGAAAGTCAGGGAAGATGACGACAAGGCGGAGGACCCGAGTTCTTACGTGGAGCTTCCTGGGGAGCGGGTGATGCTGTGGCACAAGATGACGTTCGACCTCACCGGCCCAGAGGTCGACGAGATGGACGATGAGAACCCCTTCGAGGCCTACCGCATCGACCTCAAACTCACCCACAAGGACCTCGACAAGCCCCTCAAGGTGCCCTGCTACTTCGCTGCCGACGGCGATGCGGCCGAGACGTCTGCCACGGGTGGCGACCAGTGGCGGTGCCACTTCATGCCCATCAAGACGGGCACCTGGAAATACAAGCTCAAGTTCACGCAAGGCGACAGGGTGGCCGTGGACAAGAAGCAGGAGGGGGAGCCGGCGGGCTTCTTCGACGGCGCGAGTGGGGCGTTTGAGGTGCTCCCAAGCGACAAGAAGGGGAAGGACAGTAGGAGAATGGGGCTGCTGCGACACGTGGGAGAGAGATACCTCAAGTTTGCGGTGGGTGAGATATGGCTGATGGATGGATGGATGGCTGAGAGAAAGAGCCTTCGTCTCTTTCTTTCTGTTGTGTCGTGGCCTGCAGGGCACTGACGAGTATTTCATCAAGGCGGGAGTGGACGGGCCCGAGAACCTGCTGGCCTACGAGGGCTTCGACAACACGCCCAACTACCTAAACCTCAGGAAGACCTACCCCAAGCACATCGAACACTGGAAAGAGGTACATGCACAATCACAGCCCCACAATGCACACGGCACCCCTCAAGTGTGTTTGTCGATATCTGTCTGCCTGTCACGTGCCTCCCTCGCTCAGGGTGACCCGACGTGGCAGGGCGGCAAGGGCAAGGGCCTCATCGGTGCGCTCAACTACCTCGACTCTGTTGGCCTCAACGCCTTCTCCTTCCTCACCTTCAACGACCAGGGGGACGACAGAAACGTCTTCCCATATGTCACGGTCGGTCACACGACCTCCATTCATCCGGACAGCCCCTTGACGCTGTGTGTGTGTGTGCCTCGATTGGCCGATGCAGGCAAAGGAGCTGGGTCGTTTCGACGTGAGCAAGCTGGCGCAGTGGGAGAAGGTGTTTGAGCACGCGACCAAACTGGGGCTGACGATGCACTTCAAGACGCAGGAGGCCGAGAGCATCAAGATCCACGGCAAGGAGAAGCTGGAGGACTCGCGCAGGCTCTACTACAGAGAGCTGCAGGCGAGGTTCGGACACCATGCCAACATCATATGGAACATCGGTATGTGGGCGGCCATACTCGCAGCGACCATCTGTGCATGTGTGTGTGTGTGTGTGTGTGTGTGGATTTGTTGGTGTCGTGTTGCGTGTCAGGTGAGGAGACGACGATGCCGGTGGAGGCCATCCGTGATTCGGCCGAGTACTGGCGGTCCATCGACCCCTACGAGCACCCGATGGTCGTCCACACCCACTACCCACAGATATGGGAGAAATACGTACCCCTCATGGGCGAAAACTCGCCACTGTGAGCGACATTCACCACACAACACCATACAAAACAGAAAGACAAACGACTCGCCACATATGGTGTGTCCACTGCAGTGACGGCCCATCGATGCACGCCCGTGAGCCCTTCGGCGTCAACAACCTGACCCGTGCGCTGGTGAGGATGTCCCATGAGAAGGGCAAGGCGTGGGCGGTCATGAACGACGAGCAGGGCCCCTGGTACAAGGGCGTCCTGCAGGACGCACACGACCCCGACCACGACGTGCTGCGCCAGCAGCTGGTGTGGGGCAACCTGCTGGCCGGCGGGGCGGGCTTCGAGTTCTACTTCGGGTGGGGGTGGAACATCCACAAGATGGCCAACGAGACGCAGGTCAAGCACTCGTTCGATGACGACTCTCTCAATGTCGAGAAGAAACCGCCCCCAGGCAACCTCATCCAGACCGGCGAGTCCGGCAATGACGATAACGGCGACGGCCAACTCGACGACCTGCCGGCTCTCGAGAGCTTAGCGTCGCTGGAGGGTGACAGAGACAATGCCCCCGTGGCGCACTCGCTCTCTGGCTGCCCTGAGTGGGTGATCTGTTCGGCGTGCAGCGACATTACCTGCGAGGACTTCACCAACCGGCACAACATGTGGCTGCAGGCCGCCAAGGCCATCGAGTTCTTCAAGAAACCCATCAAGTTGCCGGCGTCAATGGCCTCGCAAGTCGGCCCTTACGACAGCAATGGCGGCGACGAGAGCGCCCTTGACTACCGCCTGCCGTTCTGGGCCATGTGGGACGACAACAACATCACAGCGGCCGAGGACGACTTCGCTTTGGTCAACGACGACACGTACCTGATCATGACGCCCACAAGGGAGAAGAGTGCCCTCTCTTTGGCCCTGCCGTCTGGCCGCAACTACGCCGTTGCGTGGTGGAACCCCAAAGAGGGCGGGCCACTGGTGAGCGGCGATCATGTGGACATGCCCGCCCTCAGCGCAGCCGGGGAAGGGGCGGGGAGCACGGCAGCCTCATCTCTTGTGGAGCTCCCCTTCCCACAAGAGATGATGGTGACCAGCAAAGAGGGAGAGATGAAGCACCCGGCCGAGTTCGTGGCGCTCGTAAGGGCCGTGCCGGATGGATAGACAGACAAAGAGGATGGATGGGCGTGCTGTGTGGAAGACGGCGGGCCTTGCGCGCGTGTTTGTGCGTGTGCGCCTGCCTGCCTGCAATGGTGGTGCACGTGTCTCCACCTGTTTTTGTGAAATCCACCCATACTTGAAGTGTCAGGTAGCTGAGCTGTGTGAAGGAGCATGATTACACAGTCTGTTTGCAGCCTTCGGGTCGTCCGTATTTAGCCATCGGTTCTCTCGTAGGGTCTCGTAGGGCCTCATATGTGGCTGTGTCGGATTTCTCTATTTGTTCACTCGTTTTGTTGGAATTGGGGCTGGCGGAGCCAAGTGTCTGCCTCTGTCCTTGTCGTATTGATGAGTCTCACGATGCATCGGTACGGGTGTGGGCGGGAGGGTGTGCATAAATACGGCCATTTTGTGTGCGGCGAACTGGTGTGCACGTGTAGGCCTCCAATTCACGTAAGTAGCGTTCGTACGCATCAATCGAGATGATTTGAGAGCAGCCGAGACACACACGCGGCAATCAGCACACAACAGCCTCACCGGCCGACAGCCAAATCAGTCAGAATTCCTGGCGATGGCGGTGCCGGTACCATTATTTTAACGCACTATTATTCTCCATCTTCACGGCAATCCCCCCTCCTTCCCCACCGGCAAATTGCCTTGTGTGTGTGTGTCTGTGTGTGTGTGTCTGTCTGCCCCGCCAACGCCCACGCCATTACTTTTTCTAACGCCTGACGGCGAGCGTTGGCGTTACGGCTGCGGAGAGCAGCGAGAGATATCTCTCACCGCCGCAGACCTCGCCTCGCTCTCTCTCGCTGCTCACAGGCATCTGTAATTAGTTCGTGTGTTTATACTCTCTGCTTGCTTGTTTCCGTCCTGAGAGAGAGAGGTTTCCTCGACGCGAGATGAAGCTCCTCGCGTGTGTGGTGGTGTCCCTCCTGCCGCTGTGCTTCTGCCGGCCGCCCGAGGCGCCGAACGTGGTGGGCACCTTTGTAGGAGACCCTATCCTCGGTAAGCTGATTCAGACAAGGCAGAGAACGACGGGCTGGCCGGCTGACCCCCCCGGTTGTGTGTGTGGTTCTGCAGGCTCCCCTATTGCTGACCTGATCAAAGCTGGTCACGGTGACGACGTGATTTTGCCTTTCGCAGACTCAGACGAGATCACCACTGACGAACTTTTTGAGCAAGGAAGGGCGGCCGGTAGCACGGACCCGCTCAACAACCGAATCGACGCAGCGTAAGCTCTGTAAAGCACCGCACGCACACATTGCCATCCCCACACAGTTCATTCTTGCGGGTCGTGTCAGAACCAAGAATGATTACATTCTGTACGAAAGCTCCGCGCTCTTTGACGACCGGCCTGAGGTGCGGGACCGAACCCCGTGCTCCTCACTGCTGATGTGTGTCTGTGTCTGCAGAACTTTCTGACAGACTTTGAGTCGGGCATTAGTACCATTGGTTTCAGTGGCAACCAGTTCCCTTTCGCCTCCCCCCTCTTCCCGGATGGCGATGTGCACGTCTTTGACAAAGACGACTTTGGGCTCGACAAAGAGGTGCGTACAAGCAGACAATGAAGCAGCCCACACAGCTACCTCGAGGCCACTTTCCTGGTGATCGTGTGCAGGTGACGTTCTGCCAAATCTGTATCGACGCCGATAAGAACGGCGAATGGACCACTTTTGACGAGGATGGCAACCCTTCCTTCAATAGAGAAGTGTCGATTTCCCTGAGGGCTTTACGGATTTCTCCACCACCTTTATTGATGAGGAGTCAGGCTCAAAGTGCCCGGTGAGTGCTGAGCAAAGAGGTTTGGGGCACCGCCACTGTGAATGTGTGTGCTGGACTCAGGCACGTCCCAATGTCATTGTCTTGCTTGGCCCCTGCGACAGCGACTGCGAGCCCGCCGACTTTGGCAGACTGCAAACCTTTAACGCCGCTTTTGCAGCGCAGCTGGTAGACGTATCGACACTCCACTTCTTGCATCGCACGTTTGCCTTTGGTTTCTAGATTGCCAACAATTGGGGCACCGGTGCCGGCAAGGCGGGCATCTTCGTGTATTTCAACGTGAACGAAGAGCCCGTAGATGCGGGTTTCAACTTGAACAGAGGCGTGTACAGAGCTGATCTCAGTTCAACGTCGTCCCGCCAGGATGTTATCTGGCGGGATGTCTCTACCTGCCCTCCTGAGGAGGGCAACGCGCTGGGCGGACAGGTGGCCGTTCGAGCAGCCGTGATAGCAGACGCCGTCGATCAAGGGAGGTGCAGGCCGCTCACAGCCTTCGGTGTTGATCTTGTGGAGGGTGCTATCGTCCTTGGGTTCATCCGGCGCGCCAATAGGGACCTCGAAAACTACGAAGCTGGCAACTTTCTGTTCGGTGGGTCGTTAAGAGTGCCAGTGTCTATAGACGGACGCTTCTCTCTCTCTCTCTCTCTCTGTGTGTGTGTGTGTGTGTGTGTGTGTATGTAGCCCGTATTCGTGTTGGCGATGAGAGCAACAACATCATGCTTGGATCTGACCATCCCGACTTCTTCAGCTCTGGGGGAGGGTATAAATACACACCACACAAAAACGGCTGCAGACAGACGCTGTGTGACCTCATGGCTGTGTATGCGTGCGTTGTGTTGCCCCGCAGCAATGACATGATCAACTTGGGGCCTAACACGAACTTTGTCGCGACTGGCGGGGGCCATGACAAGATCGTCTTCTTCAAGAACACGTTGGAGCAAGAGCCTGCCGTTTCGGGGGGCAGTGTGAGCACACTCGTGTGGCACATGAGCCGGCCGGCCGTCATCCCTTCTCTCTCTCCGTGTGTGTGTGTGTGTGTGCAGGGCCTGGAGAACAGATTCCTCGATTTCGACGTCACTCGCGATAAGTTCGTATTCGAGTAAGCCATCACAATTCACGCATCAGAGACTCGTGCATGCGTCGGGTCGATCTCGAGATCTGTCTGTCTGTCTGTCTCTGTCTGCCCTGTGTCACGAAACATGCAGCGCCAATGACTACGGCCTTCGGCACATCAGTTTCTGCAACACCAAATTCGGCAGTGGCTCTGGGCCCCAGAATGATGATCTCAGCCCAGAGGAGCCTATCGGCGATTGCAACGTTATCGTGGTCCAGAACAGCGATAATGACGACGACGAAGTAGGAGAGGGATACACAACAACCCGGTGTGCATTTCGCTGCCCTACATCATTCTGTCTCAGACAACTGGCTTCGGTGCCGGCGCGGCTGCCAATCTCGGTAAGCCCAAAAGGCAGAAAACGCGCTGCGCTCACAGTAAATGAACGCCTGTCTGCATGACCTGCCTCGTGTGTCTGCCAACAGTTGCCGACGCCATTCAGGCTGAAGGCGACAACACAGACAGCAGAGCGGGGCTCATCCTTTACTTCAACAGCCGATTGGCGCTCAATCGCCTCTTCTGGAGCTCTGACATCACGAAGCGCACGACGGACGACCCCCGCCCCGAAATCATCATCCTCGGCAGATTCACCGAGCGCGATGGCGTGGGCGATGAGGAGGAAGGGACCATCGATGGCCAGGACGCGGTCGATAATCTGCCCTTCTGGCAGAAGAGAAACTTTATGGTGCTTAAGGTGAGTAAAGGGAGACAAGGATACAAAGATACAGACAAGCAGCAAGGGCATGGCATGTGGCCGTCTCTGTGGTGTCCTTAAGGACAACGACTTCGAGGCCAACGCCCTCTCGGTCGCTAAGGGCGGCGATGCGGACGAGACCGCAATGGAGAAAGACGCCAAGAAATTCGGTGGGCAGTCGATTATTGATTGCATTTCGCTTCGTACCGCCCCGCACTTTTCGCGTTTCGTGTTTGCTTGAAAAGGTGACTTCGGCGAGCTGTGCCTCTTGCCGCCCAAGAATGAGACCAACAAGCTGATGAGCAACACCAACGTGAGGGAGGGGGAGAAGAAGTGAGGGAGACGTCGGCCGCACGGCTGAATTTGGATGCGTGAACGACACGCACATGAGGCGATTTATAAGGACATACATACATACGTTCATACTAGTTGCATGAAGTGTCTTGTTGAGGTGCTGCTGAGGGCGGCTGGGAGCGGCTGGCGTGCGGTGCTTGTCGTCTGCTGCTTGTCATCTGCTGCCTCTTCCTTTCTCGTGTCTCGGTTTTCGGTGGCTGTCTTTTGATACACACCACGAGCACTCGTCTCGCTCGATTGGCGTGGGTCGTGTGTCGCCTCTCTTGACACACGTGCATACATGCATACATCCGATGTCTACACACGGGCTGGGGGAAGTGAGCTTTCTGTCCACCCTGGCGGGCGGACGTCTCGTCTGGTTGTCGGTGTTTTTCTGTCTCGCATGCGCGTGTGAGTGACTGCTCTTTGTCTGGTGTGCTTTCTCGGGAGTTGGCCTGCTGTCCCTCTGGCTTATTCGGCTGTGGACGCACTCGCTTGGTTGATGTTGGCCCTGCCTTGGCTCTCTCGGTTGCGTGGGTGCGCGTCTCTCTCTCTCTCTCTCTCTCTCTGCGTGTGTGTGTGTGTGTGTCTGTGCGTGTGTCTGTCTGTGTGTGTGTACATAGATGTCATCCATGAGTGTGTGGTGGGGCGGAAATTTATGGTGTGGCGTGGATTGTATAGATACATACATACGGAAGTGGGGTGCGAATTAAGGGCTAAGCTTGTGCAGGGGGTTTTTCCTACCTAGTTGTGTCTCTTGTAGTTGTGTCTCTTGTCGCCTTTGTCTTGCTGATTACCTAGGCCTTTATGTGCTCATCGCACCTATCGCACCTATCAATCGCAGCCACCATCCATCCATCGCATTTAGCGGCGCCGCATGACATGAATGATTGCAATGGACACCCAGATAGGCCCGCCTGTCGGTTTTCCACACGATCAATCGCAGCCACCATCCATCCATCGCATTTAGCGGCGCCGCATGACATGAATGATTGCAATGGACACCCAGATAGGCCCGCCTGTCGGTTTTCCACACGTGTCCACTCGTGTGTGCGCTTTTAGTGCTCTAGTGCTCACTCATACGACGCGTGCACACGGCAAATGAGGTGGGCGCTGCTTCCTTCCGTCTTTCCTTGTTCCTCTCTTTCTCCTCGCTTCTCTCGCCTTGAGTGAGCCTGTCTGTCTGCGTACACACATACATCGCCACGTGCACTCTCCTCTGCTTGTTGCGGGCCACGTGCACTCTCCTCTGCTTGTTGCGGGCACCCGTGTGTGCAGTCCAACAGACGAGGGGAGAGGTGCGCGTGGTGGGTGGCTGTCCTGTGTCTCTTGTTTTCTACGTCGGTCGGTGTGTGCATGCGTGTGTGTGTGTGTGTGTGTGGAGTGTCGGGGTGGGGGTGGGTGCCCGGCTGAAACGCCATGGCGGGGAGTGGGGAGGGACTGATCTGATCGCACTTACTCTCACTCTCACCTGCTGCACTCAGAGAGACGCATCTATCGCACCGAAATGTACAGACAGGAGAGAGGCGCTCAGCGGACATCAGAAGCGGTTGTCTGCATCATTCTATGCGGGCCGTGCAAATCAATGACGAGGCGGGGCGAGTCGAACAAATGCTTTTCCGAATCCCGTTAGCTCGATGATGAATTGCTTTGTGGCTTTGTGCGTAGAGAGGGGGGGGAAGAGCGAAGAGCGGAGAGGTAGAGCGACTTAAGACTTGGACGAGCAGCGACAGAAGTGTGTTGATTGAAACGAAGTGGAGGCGCATCGATGTCAGTGTGCGTATGTATCGCTGAGACAACAAAGAGACACATGCGTCGTGTCCATCCACCACCTCACAGATGAACCAATCTAACGATGTCCGCCCGCCACATGAAAGCCTTCCTAAGCGCCCGGTGTGTGCGTGCGGTTTGAGGGGAGGTAGAGAGTATGGAAAATGCCTGAAGTTGACACAGGTGACGGGGTGTCCGTGAGCCCATTTGGAGAATGGTATGTGTGTTGTCAGGTTGACGAAGGAAGCGACCGTCAGATTCTTCCGTCAGATGGGCATTGACGCATCGGAAAAAGGCAGGCATCATTGTCTCATCGTCTCCATGCCACCCACCCACCCATCCATGCCATCATGAGGCGTTCCCTGCAAACTCGCCCTCCCTACTCAAAATGAGGCGTTCCCTGCAAACTCGCCCTCCCTACTCAAAACACACGCACACACGCACACGCACACGCACACGGGCACATTCACACGGAACACGCAAGCCACACCACACCACACCAAGACATACTGGATGAACACATGTGTAGACTCCACTCCTCTCTCATTGACCAGCGGCCTGCCCGCCACCAAGCCAGCCACTATAAAAGCCATCCATCCAGGTAGGCAGGTCGAGGGAGGCAGCAAGGAGCAAGCAGCGCAGTACAGACAAAGCGTACCTAGGACACACAAGCGAGACAGGCGAGACATGCATCATGTGAAGGGATACAAAACGTAGGCAGACAGACAGACAGACAGGCAGGGAAGGAGGAGGAGCGGTCCATCGAGCTAGTCATCATGCACACATGGCGTTCATGCGACTGCTCGACTCGACTGACACACACATGAGTGTAATAAGCGGATACGCAGGCGAGCGCGTGTGAGCGAAAAAGGCTCAACACCCAGCATCCATATAACCCAAGTGGCTTGGCTGGCCGGCTGGCCATCAATCAGCCGCAGCCGTCCAGCCAGCCAGCATCTCATCTCATCTACCACATTCCATGGTCGAACTGCCCTTTGACGAGGTCCTTCATGGAATTGTCCGACCCCAAGTTTCTCTCCAGCTCCCCCATGTACAGCCCTGCCTGCCGACGAACACCTAAAGGACGGAGATCACACACACACACACACACACACCGATGGACAGCTACAGGGGTGGGCGCATTCGTGTGATGTGTACCTGAGAGGCACGTCCCGCCGCCTGCGAGAGCACAGCAAATGTCTCCCTCGCCGATGCACCGATCTGCGCCGCCAGCCTGCACACGAGCAGACACACAGATCAAAGGCACGTTCAGGATGCCATCCATCCAGCAATTCCTTCTTCCCTTTGTGTCGCTCCCTCCCTCCCTCCCTCTGAGTGCCTCCCTCTTATCTACCTGGAGCCTGCGGCTGTCTGTGTTATTGCGAGCCTTGAAGTCCACTTGCTCGTCCTTGTCGTCAATCAGGGCCACGCCCTCTGCACACATCCATCCACACACATGACGCCACACAGTTCTGTCAAGGGCTTGTGTGGTGGGTGCCGTGGGGTGCCCACATACATACCCTTGTCAGCCATGAGGGAGTAGCCGCCAGCAAGGTGGAGGGTGATGGACTCGCCGGGCACCTGCTGGATCCAGTCGACGCGGAATATGGCCTCGTTGCCGTTGCTGAGCGTGTGCGTCAGCTGCACACACACGACAACGCACACGACACATACGAGCATCCGTCCAACAACAACAACAGTGTGTCTCTCTGTGTCTGTGTGTCAGTCTTACCGTCTTGATGTCCTCAAAGTCCCGCACGCGCGTCTTGCCAGAGCCCACGTCGAGGAAGTTCGCACTGACAATGTTGGGATGAGTGCCTGACGGCCACACACACGTTCACCCACGCATCCTTGCTTGAACGAACCCTCTGTCTTTGTGTGTGTGTGTGTGTGAGTGTGGTCATTGCGGCTTACGAACGGAGATGTGTCCGTCAGCTGCCTCGAGCAGACCCGTGTTGCGGACGACTCTGATGTCCTTCATGATCTTGAGGGTGGCGATCATGAGAGCGAACAGGATGCCGAGAGTGAGGATCCAGATGATGGCCATGAAGCACATGCACCACCCAAGGCGCTTGTACCGCTTCTGAGACAAAACCACCTGCAGGCCACCGACACACAGACACAGACAGAGAGGGGTGACGGGCGTGCAGACAGACGTGTCTGTCTTTGTGCCGGCACGTGACTGACTGACCTGCTTGGCCGCCTCGATGACTTCGTCAATCTCAAACTTGCCGTCGCCGTCCTTGTCCATATCCTGCACCGCACCCAGCCGCCAAGGGTCACAGACACACACACCCGCCATGCGCCGCTGCCTGCAGTGCATGTGTCTCGGTCTTTGTCTCCCTTCACTCACTCACCTTGAGGACCTTGAGGATGTCCTTTTGCAGCCTGCCTTCAGTGCCCGACGAGGCGATGGCATCGCTGAACTCCCTCGTGTGGCGGGTGCTGATGCTGTGGCTGTTGCTGTCACTCACGTCAGCCTTCATCCTCTCTGGCGCTAAATATGTAGATCCGGCGAAGATTAAAAGAGAGTGCGGCGACGGTGACTGGTTCCTTGGGATTCTTCCAGCGCGGAGGAGTCTCGCGTTGGCAAATACGCAGCGCGCTCTAACTCCTCTTGCGAGCTTAGAAGTGCCATATCTTCATCCTTCGTGCTGATCTTGGCCCATCCGCCACACCAGCAATGGCAGATTCGGGCGACAAGAGTCACATCTACTACGGCGCCATCCAGTTGGAGGGCCTGCAGGACCGAGGCAAGGCAGACAAAGACCAAGACATCGACAAGGATGAGGGTGAGGACATCCTCATGGAGGATGCAGCAGCGGGTGCTGCAGCAGGTGGTGGTGAGGAGGGTGAGCATGAGATGGAGTTGTCTGAGGCGGCGCAGGAGTCCATCGCTAAGCACCAGAGGACCATGCAGGCATTCAGCCAGCAGCAGAGGGCTAAAGCTATCGCGGTCAGTCAGAGGGACAGAGAGGGGAGGAAGGCAACACCATACCATGCTGGCGATGTGTGATGGAATTGGTGTGCGTCTGATGTGTTTGTTGTGTGCAGGCTCCCACTCAGGACATGGATGTGCGCAAGATGCTGCGACAGCTGGGCGAACCCATCACACTCTTCGGAGAGGGGGTAAGCTGAGCAACACGACACGACACGACACAACGCCCATTCTCATGCTCATGCTCTCTCTCACTGCGTCCATCTGTCAGCCTGGCGAGCGTCGTCAGCGGCTCAAGGAGCTCCTGGCCAAGATGGAGGAGGAGGACCCCGACGCCCTCACCGCCCTCCTCGGCCAACACCTGGCCCCCCCGCCTCCCGCATCCGCACTCCCTGCCGCAGGCGGGCAATCCATTTCCAAGCCGCCCAGCGCCCTGGTCCCAGGTGCTGCTGCCAGGGAGCCGGTGGTGCCGACGAGCATTGAGGAGCAGACGAGTGTCTTTTACACGGAGGGCAGCGATGCGCTCAAGCAGGCGAGGATCAAGATCGCCCAGTACTCTGTGCCTGCGTAAGGACAGACAGGGACACAGAGAGCGGGAGAGGGAGAATGGATGTGGGGGGCGGGGTTTGTGTGTGTGTGTGTGTGTGTGTGTGCAGAGCTGCGAGTCGGTTGAGGCGTGAGCGCCTGTTGCGGTCGAAGCTGGATCCTCTTGAGTATGAGGAGTCGCTCAGGGACTACCAGACTCACCTTCAGGTGGGTGGGCCCACAACACAGCACAAGAAGCGCCAAGATGGGTCGGGTCGCATGTCCGTCCGGACATCTGCGTTGTTTGCCTCATGTATGTTTGTGTCGTGTGTCAGAGTTTCAGCGTGAGCGTGAGTCAGGTGGGCGACGACCGGCCACTCACAGGCGGATCCTTCGCACCCAACGACGAATACCTAGCTACATGTACACGACACACACATCCAACACACATCACCTCAATTCACACAGCCATTCCCTCTCTCCTTCTCTGTGTGTGTGTGTGTCCCATCCGTCCATGCAGGCAGCTGGGCAGGGTTGGTGAAGCTATGGCGGCTGCCGTCGTGCGATGCGGCGTGGACCTTCAGGTGCCACACAGACAGGCTGCACGGGGTTGCGTGGCATCCTGCATACAAGGGGGGGACTGAGGGAGGCAGGGCGCCGGCAAACATCCACATCGCATCAGGTCATCAGAACAAATGGATGGATGGATGGATGGATGGATTGTTGCTCCGTGTGTGTGTGTGTGCAGGTGGTGCTGACATGAAGGTGATGTTGTGGAGGGTGCCTGAGGACGGCCACGAGCCAGGCACAGTCGCAGAACCGGCACACACTCTGGAAGGTTGGTGGGTGACACACAACATACACACGACACTGCAACCAGCAGCACCCATGTATGTGTGTGTGTCGGTTGGTTCAGGTCACGAGGACCGCATCAATCGCGTGGCGTTTCACCCCAGTGGATTGTATGTGGGCAGCACGAGCCACGACCTCACATGGCGGCTGTGGGACATACACACACGGCAGGAGCTCCTACTGCAGGAGGGACACGCACGGTCAGTCAGTCAGCACCACACCGACACAGACAGGCAGACAGACGAGAGAGCCGCCTTCCATGTGTCTGTCGTGTGTCACGTGTGTGATCAGCGGTGTGTATCCGATATGTTTTCACCCCGACGGTTCTCTGGCGGTGACGGGCGACCTCGGGGGCGCCATTTGGGTGTGGGACATGCGCACCGGCAAGACCGTCCTCCCACTCAAGGTATGTATCATCACCCACAGAGAGAGAGAGAGAGATCCACGTGTCTGTCTGCCTGCCTGCAATCCGCGTGTGTGTGTAAATGCATCAATCAGGGTCACGTCAAGCAGGTCCTCAGCATTGACTTCAACCCAAGAGGTGAGTGATTACATCACTCACACCCAGCCACACACCATGTCAACCAACATTGGGACGCTGTCGTGTTGTGTCGTGTTGTGTTGTGTTGGCTGCGATGCGTCAGGTTGTTTCGAGCTGGCCACCGCGTCGGATGACCACACTGTGCGGATATGGGACCTCAGGAAACGCAAGTAAGTACCACAGGCCCTAGTGGATGGATGGCATCTCCGGTCTGTCTCGTTCTCTTTCATGGCATCGTCTCTATGTCTGTCTGTCTGTCTGTCTGTCTGTCTGCAGGAGTGTGCACACCCTCCTGGCCCACACCAAGCTCGTGTCAGACTGCAAATACGAGGTACGTCGCACACAGACAGGACACGCAGCGACCAACGGCACACACACCCGGCGGACACACACCCAATGTCTTATCTCTGTGTGTGCGATGTGATGTGTGTGAGCAGCCGCGTCGCGGTCGTTTCCTGCTGACGTCATCGTACGACTGCTTCGCCAAGCTGTGGCACCCTACGGACTGGAAGTGCAGCAAGACACTCGCCGGACACGAGGCACGCATCATGGCCGCGGACATCTCCAACAGTGAGTGCAGCACGTACACAGACACAGGCCACGTGTGCACACGAGACCGACCTGTGGGTGTGGTGTGTTGGGATGTCTGCAGGTGGGTCGATGATAGCGACGGTGTCGTTTGACCGGACGTGGAAGCTGTGGACGACGGCAGGCGAGTGGACTGGCATGGACATTGAACACCTCGTCGACTGAATGAATGAGTGAATGATGAATGAATGGACCGACCATGGACAGATGCATGTGCCCATGACCGATGCGCAGAGATGAGACACGTGCGCGTGTGTGTCTCCAGGAGAGGATGATGTATGTATAGCTGCCCCTCTCTCAATGGGTCTGCACTTCATTGCGACCGGCTTGCATTGAAGTGGATGGATACAAGCGAAAATAAACCCTCATGATTCACCCTTGGCCTCATGATTCACCACGTCGCCTGCATCGTTTCCTCCGGGCTGATCGCGAGCTTTTCCCGGAAAGCCTCCTGCTCCTCCTACTGCATGGCGATAACTGACGTGTGCGTGGGCTTTCGTGTGGGATGGGTCGACAACGAACAAACCCATGGTTCATTCATTCACGCAATGGTCGGTCATCAAAGTGCCCCTTTTGCTCATGCACGTGTCACGCAACACATGCATGAACGTCACCCACCCATCCAGTCGCATCCGACGACGCATCAACACCCACACACCAGACACGTGTCGCACCTGGCTGGCTGTGTCAGTCTACGCCTCCTCCGCCTCTATCTCGTCAAGGTTGAAGTCCTTGCCGGTGATGCGCTTCAGGGGACCACGACTGCTCAGCCTACACACCGCACACCACACCATCACACACATCCATCCATCTCTCGGTAGGTGTCTTGGGCTCTTTCTCTGTGTGTGGGGTGTGGTGGGCGCAATGTACCATCTGGCGTTGACACCGTCTGAGAGGATGCGTCCCTGGAGCTGCCACTTCCTGTACTCGTCCTTGGTGTACTTGGTGAAGCCCCACTTGTCGCTCACAAACACCTTCTGCCGGCCGGGGAACTTGTACTTGGCGCGACGCAACGCCTCCACCGCCGCTGCGATCTTGTCCTCCTGAGCCACATCAAATCAGATACATGGTCGCCACACGGTGGGCGATGGGCTGGCTGTTGTGCTGCTCTGTGTGTTTCGGCATATGTGCATACCCTGGTCCTGATGGACATGAGGATTTGTCCGATGTCCACGCGAGCCACCACGCCATTGGGCTTGCCATACGCACCACGCATACCCGTCTGAAGCCTGCCACCCAACACACACACACACACACACACACACACATGTACACAGAGAGAGAGAGTGGGACTCAGGATCCGTCCGCTGTCGACTGACTCTGCGTACCTATCGGCTCCAGCGCACGAAAGCATCTTGTTGATGCGGATGACGTGGAAGGGGTGCACGCGGATCCTCAGGTGGAAGAAATCCTTGCCGCAGTTCTTGATCATGTACTGGGTGGGAACAAACAAACACACCAACCACGCAACACACGTCAGATCTGACCTCCCTCCCTCCCTCCCTCCCTCGCCCCTCGTCCCCCGCCCCGCCCACCTTGTTGGCGGCGATTCGTGCAGCCTCGAGTGCCTCGCTGGAGATCTGTTCGTACTCGTCGGACACGAGGTGCACGACGCCGGGGAACTCGTCGACGTCGGCCTTCTTGCGACCCACATCGTAGATGCGGATCTTGGGGTCCGGCACACCGCGACAGAAACGCGACTTGGGGTACGGCTTGTTCTTACAGTACCGGTAGCAACGAGCCGGACGACGTCCCATCCTGCTGCACGCCACACCACACGGGGAGGGAGCTGAACAGACGAACCAAAAGAAGATCCGACACACGGCAGCGGAGATTTGGCAACAGTGAGCCTGCAAACGTCCTTCGCTCCTTTCGTACCTGGACAAGAGGCGCTCCTTCGGTTGCGAGCTCAAGATCCTGTGGCTTAGCTCGCAAAAGTGGAAGCAGCGAAGTGGAGGCGCCCTGATTGAAGATCAGAACTCACTGGTCTGCAAACGAAGCAAAGGATCCGAATCGAACGGCTCTGCATCACCTAAGACAGACACGGCAGCTGCAGAGTGCTGGATTTAAGATCTGCCGCTTTGATTGATCCCGTCAGCCAGCCGGCATGTTTATGCCTTTCATCACCTTTGCTTTTACCATCCTGGCCTCTGCCCTGGCTCTCGGGCACGCGAGTGGAGTACTGCAGAGCGACATCTCTCTTTTTGATGCTCCCACAGGTGACACAAACACACGCATTGACCACACGGATGCCTGTCCACCCATCCCTTGCTTGTCGTGTGTGCAGATGAGGACGTCACCGCACTGCCAGCCCTTTTGTCCGCCAGTGAGGGGTTCATGGGTCCGTCTGTTCGCTCCTCCCCCCTCTCGTCCTCCTCCCTGTTAAGAAGGCACACGAGGCTGCATCAGGCGAGGAGTCCAGCAGCCTCATCAGGAGTGGGGTCGCTTAAGATGATGCCTATTGGTAAGCGAGCAAGCCATGAATGAATGAATCAGTGGCTGTCGTCGTCACACAGTGGTACGTACTATCGGTGTGTGTGTGTTGTTGTGTCCGTCCGGGTCAATCAGGTGTGCCCAAGGTGGCGTATCGCATACCAGGGTCACCCAATGCCGACTGGATCGACATCTATAACAGGTGAGGACACACCTACGGACACCCAGGCGGCCATCCCTTACATGTGGCGTATTCCGCCTGACTTCACCTGTCTGTCTGTGTGTGTTGTGGTCAGGTTGTACCGTGAGCGCATCATCTTTCTGGGTCAGGAGATCGACGACGAGTTCGCCAACCAAATCATCGGCGTCATGCTGGTACGCACGCACGGCATAGATTCTTGCACACAGGGAGGCAAGACCAGCACAGCTGCACACGTGTGTGTATGCGTCTTGCGGACCGATCTGCCTATGGATCCATCTGTCTGTCTGTCGTGTGGTGCCACAGTATTTGGACAGCGAGGACAGTACCAAGCCCATTTACATCTACATGAACTGCCCGGGCGGATCCGTCATCGCGGGACTCGCCATCTACGACACAATGCAGGTGCGCTCATCCCATCTCTCTCTCGCCACGTACACACGTGTTGGTGTGGTCTCTGTGTGTGTGCAGCACATCAAGAGTGAGGTGGTGACGATCAACGTCGGTCTGTCGGCCTCCATGGCGTCATTCCTGCTCGCAGCCGGCACCAAGGGCAAGCGATTCGCACTCCCCCACAGGTGGGCGGCCTCACGAAGCACACCCACACAATACACTCATGCGATACTCTTTGTGCGTGTGGATGTGTGTGGTTGCAGTCGTGTGATGATTCACCAGCCGATGGGCGGTGCGCAGGGCCAGGCGGAGGACATCAAGGTCGAGGCAGCACAGATCCTCCGAATCAAAGACAACCTCGTCAAAATGTACAGGTATCACTCGAAGGAAACACCACACACGCGGACAGGCACACGCACTGCATCAGGGCGACGAGCATGTTTGTTGTTTGGTGCTGTCCCGTGTGCACAGTATGATGACCGGCCAGACGCGCGAGCAGATCATCAAGGACCTCGACCGAGACAACTTCATGTCCGCACAGCAGGCCAAGGAGTATGGGCTGATAGACCACGTCATAGACTTAAAGACCGACGCCCAGAAGATGGTCGAGGGCACCTCCTCCGTGCCAGCGTAGCCTGTCGTTCGACTCATGACTGACTCGTGTGGCAGTGAAGTGTGTGCACACATATGTATGGCTTTTTATCCGACATGTTGACGGGACCTAACGCGGTTCCAGACGGAATGGATGAAAATCTGGATCTTCAGTGCAACCAGGGAGCCGCTACCTCAAAAACCAGTGAGTTTACATTTGGGTCGAGATCGGCCAGCAAAATCGTGTTTGTTTCCGTTGATTTGGCGCCATGGAAGCGCTGCTCAAGGCGTTGGGCGACAGGCCTGACGAAGGCTTTGGCTCAGACCTCCTCGATAAGCTGAAGGACTCTCAAGTGCTCGGCGCCACCGACTGCAGCAGCAATGCGCTCGTTCAGCTGGTGGACGTCGTCATGGAGGCAAGCAACACACACACACGAGCCACAGCACCCCTCCCAACATCTTCTGTGGTCTGGTGATGCTGCCCGCTGGCTGTGTATGCCAGGGGATGCAAGGATCTGAGTTTGAGACCAGCTATTGCGCTTTCACCACGGTCGCTGCGCTCGTACGGCTCGGTGAGCCCTCCCAGACGACAAACACGCTCTTTCACATGGTAGATCTGGTGTTTCAATGGTTCACACGGTGCCCTCTGATCAGAAACGCCTGTGGATGAGTATGGTGAGGAGTTGGTGGGCAAGCTGGTGGACTGCCTGCAGGCGCTGCTGCACATCAGTGGCCTGGACGAAACCGACGACTCGTTTGCATGCCTGGTCAGAAAAAAGGGGGTGAATGGGGAGATGGGGGACACATGGATATGACCTCTCTCTCTTGTCGGTGTGTGGTTGGTGTGCAGGTTGTGTATGAGGCCGTGACGCTCGCCGCCGGCTGCTTTGCCTTCTCTGGCGACGAGGGCACCACCGGCCACAAAATCGCATCAGACATCCTCAACGAAGAGTAAGTGAGCCAACGACACACCTGACGGGAGGGGACACTGGAGGGTAGGGGAGCGATGTTCTGTGGTTTGTGGTGTGTGGTGCAGGTTGCTGGCCTCGCTGCTGGGTCTGTGTGTGTTGACGCCCACGGCAGAGGCCGATCAGTTCCCAGATGGTGCGAGCACAAACACAGCCAATACCCACACTGTGGATGCTCTCTCTGTGTGTGTGCTGTGTATGTGTTCAGCTCGTTCGTATCTGCGGTTCCAGCATGCCTTCCAGTGTCTGCACCGCGGCTCGTGTGACACACTCGCCGTGGCCCTCGACGTCGGCCCGTCAGCGTTGCGCCGTTCGTTCGAGATGTCGCTGCTGGAAAGGCCCGCCCTCACACGAGCCGTCAAGATGATGCTCTCGCCGAACGACGTGCACGCATCTGTCGGACACGCTGAGCTCATCTGGTGGGTAAATGGACGGACGGATGGATGGCTGTGTGTGCATGGGGTCGGTGGTTGCCGGTGAATGTGTGTGTCAGGCGTGGGCTTCGTCGCAATGGCCGTGCCGATGCGTCCACGTCAGAGGCGCTGGCACACCTGAGGTCTGAGTGGCCGGAAGCACTCACCCTACTCCGCTCCGGGATGGTCGACACTGGTGAACGGCACACACAGACAGATACTGGTAGCACCGAGAGGCCCCTCTGTGTGTGTGCTCTGTTGTGTTGTGTGCAGGTGCGTTCAACGAGTCTCTCCGCACGTTCCTCCAAAGCAACCCGAACAGACACAACAAGAAGGAGGCCAAGTACACACACACACACACACCACACCGCACCGCACCACACAGCTCAGCAGCTCTATGTGGGATACTCTGGTGTGCTATGCGCTATGTGCTGTGTATGCAGCCTTGTTTCGCTCAACGGCTGTGCAGTGGTGCAGCTCGTCTCAACCACAGACGACGATCCCAAAGAGCTGTCGACGGTCGAGGTCAGCGAGCGCTTTGTGTTGGTGCTCCATCTCACCACTGCTGGGTATCTTCCTTCGCTCAGGGTGTGTTGGACGTGTCGATGTACAACCTGTCGTTCAATTCTAGTGCGGAGGGCGACACTCTCGAAGTGCCCTACTGGTCCATCGACAAGGTCGCCTGCGTCAAGTAAGCGCAAACCGACCACACACAGACCTCCCATACATAGTGTCATGTCCATGTTGTGCTGTGTGGTGTTCGCCCTTCTCATGTGTGGTCAGGAACTGCGTGACGTGCCGCCTGACGCGCGAGAGCCTCCGCGACTGTGTGACGCGGTGGGGGGCCGAGTATCGCATCGAGAGGCAGGACGTCGCCGCCATCATCGAGCAAAACACACACACCGTCCAAGTCCAATTCGCACTCTCTGGCCAGGTACGCAAAGACACCACACACCATACCACAACGCACCACGCCACACATCTGCTGCACTGGCGTGTCTGTATGTGTGTCCATCAGGTGGGGATTCAGGTGGCTTCGACTCTTTGTGAGCTGTCGCTGACGGCCTTCGAGGTGGACGAGCCGACGCGCGACGACGAGGCTGCTGGGGAGTCCAACCTGCGCGTGTCCTTCGCCACCACCAAAGCTGCCAAACAGTCGCCAGAACTGCCCGCAGGTCACCCAAGAATGGACGCACATCCAACAGTGGTCTGTGTCTCATGTCTATGACATGTTTTGTGCTGCAGCGAGTCCCCGCCCGCCGCAGACCGACACGCCCCCGAGTGGCGATGAGGCTGAGGGCAGGGAGGCTGAGGGGCAGGGCAAGAAAGGCATACTCAAGCGGATGTCGATCGCCAGCTCCAAGGAGATGCGCACCCCCAGGGACAAAGACAAACGCATCTCTTTCGCATCGATGCGACAGGTAAAGTCACCCACACACCCACCAATCCACTCACCTCCCCAACCAGCACACTGACGTGTCTGTCAGGTGGTGCGTTTCGATGCCGAGCAGGAGCGTCCCGACTGTGTGAGTCAGGAAGCGATGGCCAACCCACCCAAGACACCCACACCACAACCCTTGCCAGAGCAAGAGGAAGACAGCGCCGATGAGGCTGCCAAGGACACACCCGGCCGGCCGCCACGCACCAACCGAGCCGTCGATCCCAAGCCATCCTCCCCTCCCTGCCAGCCTCGAGGCCGTCCATGCCCCGCTCCTGCCATGAAACCCCCCTCTCCTCCCTCACCCGACTCGCTCCCCTCGCCCGTCGCACCGCCACGCCCCCCCTCCCCCCCACCTGTCGTCCCACCGCTGCCACGTGACAGCGAACAACAGAATGAGCCCGAGCAACACGATGAAGAGCAGCCCGACGAGCAGTGAGCACATCATCCAATTGCATGTGTCTCTGTGAGTTCACATTTGTGTCCTTTTGTGCAGGATGGAGGAGCCGCAGGGCGAGCAGGTGTCTGAGTCTGAGCAGAAGCGGCTGAAGCGTCGCCGGTCGGTGGGCGCCAAGAGCAAGGCCAAGCCGAAGCCCAAGATGGGTCTCAGCAGAGCCCAGGTCCAGGCGAAGGCCAAGAAGGCGTCTGCGGCTGCTCGTGTGGATGTGGAGATGGTGGAGGAGGATCGCGACCAGGAGGAGGAGGAGAAGGAGGAGGAGGAGGAGGAGAAGGAGGAGCCCAAGAAGGTGGCCAAGACCAAGAAGCGCAAGGAGCGGGTCGAAATCATGTGAGACACCACCGCACCTTAACACACAGACAACATCCTCTCCCGTGTATGCAAACATACATACCTTCCTTCATGGCATTGTCTGTGCGTATGTTGCTATGTCAGGCTTGACGAAATGGATGACGTGTCTGCCGACGAGGAGGGCGATGTCGAGATGAAGCCCAAACATGACCTGGCTAAGAAACACAATCGCAAGTGAGACAGAAATGACACACCCACACCACCTCTGGCACATGAGCATCTCGCTCTGCGTCTGCCAGGGTGGATGAGGTGGTCGGCAAGTCCCACAAGGAGTTCTACGGTGTCGAGAGGCCCATGCGCAAGGACGATGGTGCCAAGAAGAAACCCGACCGCAAGTGAGCACAAAGCCAGCAACATTCCACTCACCCACGCACACGTGTTGTCTTTGTTACACAGGGTTGGTGAGGTGGGTGGCAGGTCTGGAAAGGAGCGTGACGGCGTCGAGATGAAGCCACACAAGGCCAAAGGCGACGATGCCAAGAAGAAACCCGACCGCAAGTGAGAGTTTCACAAGAACGACATCCATACCAGCCCCCCACACAACTGACTTGATGTGTGTATCAGGGTGGTGAAGGCCAAGTCGAAGCCTCGCTCACCGCCCCCTCCGCCCCGCAGCCCATCGCCCCCGCCCACACCTCCCCCTGCGCACCAGCAAGACCAAGACCACGACCAAGAAGACGTCGTCATGGCGCCACCGCATGCCGACCAAAAGGCCGTGCCGCAGCCCAAGCAGCAGAAGCCGCCCCGTCCTGCCGCGCCCAAGGCTGCCGCGGCCAAGGCTGCCGCGGCCAAGGTGGAGGGCAAGGGAGAGCTGAAGGGCAAGGGGGATGGGAAGCGCAAGGCGCCTCTGCTGCTCCGCCGCCTGTCGCCGTCGCCAGTGGATAATGAGTCGCCTAAGAAGTCGCCTAAGAAGTAAGACGGAAGCGAGGCGGGAACATGTGGATGGATCTCTCTGTCTGCATGTGTTGTCTTGTGTGTCATCAGAGCTGTTGCCAAGCCAGCTGTTGTCGAGCGCGCGGGGTCCGAGCCGCCTGTCAAGCCATCGGGGTGACGACCTGCATGCACACAACACACGCACCACATACACCCACGCACACACGACAGTCATCCTGTGTTCTCTCCGCTCACCGTCAGTGCGTTGAAGCGTCGTGCCGCCCACGTGAGGAAAAAGTCGCCAGCAGCCCAGCCTGTCGTCCGTGACCCGGAGGCCCCGCCCACGCCGCCCAGATCTGCTGTGCACAAGCGCGGCCAGGGCGACCTCCTGCACGACTGGCTCGAGTCGCCTTCCCTGGACTGGGAGGACCTCGGCGTCAGTTTCGGGCGGCCGGTCAACAGTGCCAAGAGGGCATTCAGACTCACCAGCAAGGTGCCGCCCAAAGCCAAACCAAAGGCGGCCAAACCAAAGGCCAAAGCGACGAAGGTGAATGGATGCGTCCACACATCGATCTGATGTGATTGATGCGTACATGAATGTCTCTTCGTCTTTGAATGCAGGTGGTTGGTGCTGGCGGTGGTGTTGCGAAGCGTGCGGGCGGCGGGGGAGGCGGTGGGGGTGGGGGTGCTGCTGGCAAGAAGCGGCAGGGCGCCCCGCCTGCCAAGCCGCCCGCCAAGAAGAAGCAGAGGATCGACAACAACAAAGCACTGAAGCCTGTAGCAGATCGCAATGACGGTAACACGGACGCGAAGAAGGGAAAAAGGGAAGGTCCTAATGGCCTGTGTGTGCGTACTTGTGCAGATGATGGTATGTCGCTTGAGTTTGGTGATGACGAGCCCGCCCCTCGCGAGCCCCGCCTGCAGCCACACGTGCGCGTCGCTGCATCGGCCATCGACCGTGCACTCAAACGGAAGGACACAGACCTGCACGGACTCATTCGCATGCTGGTAAGTGACCCTCCCACTCGTACCTTCCATTGACATGGCGATGGAGACATATGTGTGGGTGGGTGTTGCCCCGTGTGTATGTGTGTGTGTGTGTGTGTGTGTCAGGAGAGTAAGTTGCAGACTGCCGAGAATATGTTGAAGGCATGATCGCACACACACACGCGTCCATCCATTCACGCAGCTGTGTCGCAGGCACACAGAAAGAGACAGACAGACAGACCGACCCCATACATCACCATCGAAGGACACTTGCAATGACATCGACAGCCAGTGTATGTCGGCCATGACGCATCCATGTACGTGTGGACGTCTGTATGCACGCCTGTGATCGGACCATCGATTCCATCGCATCTGCATGACTGATTCAAATACATCATGATGCAGTCGTGTCTCAGCTTACTTGGTCACTCAGCGCCTGCGTTGCATCTCGTCTCTGGTGCCAGTGTGTGTCCTGCTGGAACCACACTAGCACAAGAGAACATGTACCTCCCAGCCCTTTCTCCCCAGGAACAAGCCAGATCTGCGGTGCGTTTCTCGGAGTCGTGGGGGCGTCTTTCTCGAGTGCATGCAGACGCCCCCTAGCCCGCTCGGAGCACCTGCGGACGCCAACAAACTTCTGCGGCATTCGTTTGCATCATGCCCTCTCAGGCCGAATCACAGACCGCCGCGGCCTCCCCAGCCCCCCAACAGCCCCAAGAGAGGGAGGACGCAGGCGATGTGGATGGGTTTGAGTTCAAGAGCATCACTGACTTCCCCGAGTACGCCACCATCTGTCAGTTTGAGCTCACCAGCCCCAGGAGCATCCTCGCTTGCGCAAATGAAGGCATAGATCCCGCTGATCTCTTCTACAAGTGATGACGGGAAGGGCCGCTTTCTCATGGTGTTCTCATTTTCCCTATGTTCTTGTGTGCAGGCCGATAGAGACGTTTGCCGAGAAGGGTCTGGAGCCGAGGCTCATCAAACTCAGATACGACTTCTTCGAGGCCAAAAGACAAGGTATCCCGCTCACCGCTCACACACTGTCTGGACGGATGGCAATCCGTTGGTGTGTGTTTCAGATGTGTTGGCGGCTGTCCGTCGGGCCTACGAGAAGATCTGCGAGAAGAATCCGTCCATATCGGCCCTCCACACCAGCAGAACCCTCATCCCCGCCCTCTCGCTCTCACAGCCGCCCCCATTCTATGGCCAACCCACAACAGGACCTACTCCGCTCCTTGATGCCCTCGGGCCGTCGCGCCGAGGGGGCAAGCAGGGCAAGTCCGCACCGACACCGACACCGGGCGCTTTGCCGCTGTCTCTGTCCACTTTCTCTGCCGGCGTACACGCGCATGAGTCCAAGAGTGTGCGCAGTGTGGGGGCGGGGAGCGCTGTGGACGCTAGCCTCCTCAGCGCCGTCAGCTCGACCGAAGTGGCCGACAGTTCGGCACTCAGGTACCTCCCTCCCTACCCTCCTGAGACATCTGATTGTAGGTGTTGTGTGGGTGAAGGTTGGAGCGTGCGCGCCACGAGAGGGTCAAGGAGCACGAGAAGCGGTGGATCCGCAACACCTTGGAGGCCACCATCCAGCACGTCAAGGACCTCGAGCACGGCTCAGAGGTCCTCGAGGCAGACACCAAACTGGCCGAGCAGAAGATGGCCGATGCTTCACGCAGACTCAAGGAGCTCAACGACAAGAGGGTGAGACGAGGGGGTCATTGATTGCGTCTGTGCGTCGTTCATGTGTGTGATTGCATTGCATGCAGCGTCAAGAGAGGGACGAGAAGCAGGCTGGGCTGCGGATGATGCAGAAGATCGAGAGAGAAAAGGTAAGGTCACCACCTGCCCCGCCGTATCTGTTTGTTTGTGCACGTGCATGTGTGTGTGTGCTGCCCGGCTGCGTTACCAACTTCAATAGGCCAAGGAAACCTTCGAGCGGGAGCTCAAGGAGGAGCAGCAGCGCGTCCAGAAGGAGGTAAGCGGCATTCATGGTGCACAACACGGGCAAGGCAAGCTGGATCCATCATCGGGCCCGCCATGAGACACAACACATGTCTATCCGTCTGTCTGCAGTTCGCCGAGGCCCGCCGGCGATTCGAGGTCCATGTGGCCAACGAGAAGAAAAAGGTACGTACGTACGAGCGTGGCCAGTGAGCATCATGAATCAATCCACCCATACTCGTCACGTGAGCATATCTACGTGGCTGCAGGCCGACTTCCAGAGGCAGCAGGAGCTCGCCAGGGACCGGTGGGCAAATGGATGCGTGGAGACAGACAGACAGGCAGACAACAGCACGCCATGTGCCTATGTGTGCGCACATCACATGCAGTGAGTATCAGCGTCAGCAGGAGCGGCTGGCCAACATGCTCAAGCAAGACGAGGAGAGAGGCCGCATTCTCCAGAAGTCCAGAGACGTAATCCAACAAGCAAGGGAAGAACGGCGCCACAAAAGGGAATTGAATGTCTGTGTGTGTATGTGTGTGTCTACATACCATACAGGAGTTCCAGCGGCACCTCCGGGAAAAAAAGGCGGACAAGGACGCCAAGATACAGGTGGGTGTGTTCGTGTATGTGATAGCTAGGTCAGGACACACAGGAGACACGTCTGTGTCTCTCTGTTTGTCTGTCTGTCTGCCTACAGGCTGCGTTGAGCAAGGACGAGGCCATTCGCGAGGAGAAGCGTCGCGCGTATGAAGAGAAGAAAGAGAGAGAAAACACCAAGGAGGAAATGCAGGCACAGAGAAGGGTCAGCACCCCCTCGATCCCCTCACACACACACACACACACAGAGACACCATCTCTTTCTCTCTCCTGGTTTTGCGTGTGTGTATGTGTGTGTATGCAGGCGCTGCAGCAGGAGGAGTCCGCCAAGCGTTCCTTCCAGCTGATGATGAAGCGCCGCATCGCCGCCGACGAGGCCAAGCGCAAGCAGGAGGAGTTCCAGCACAACGTCCAGGAGCACCAGCGGCAGGTCGACGAGAGGCTCAAGGAGCACCAGGCCAAGCAGCAGAAGTACCTCCAGTTCAAGAGGGAGCTCGACGCTCTCAAGGAGAACAACAAAGAAATGAACGTCGAAAGGTATCTACAGGACAGCCACACACACACACACACATGGATGGATGGATGGATGGATGGTATGAATGTATGTGTTGGATGTTGGTGTGGATGTGGTGTGCAGGCAGCGTCGTCGTGACGCCTTCCGTCGGGCGCAGCTGCAGGCAGACCTCAACAGCAAGCTGGGCAAGGCCACGGCGCTGGAGATGGAGAGGGCCCACATGTGGAACGAGCGCAAACAAATGATCGTGGCCGCACAGCTGCAGCGCAGGAAGGTCAGCCGAGCAGCACGGACGGACGGCAAAGAAAGAAAGACAGAGGGAAGAGGAGGCGACGCATTCAGACATTGGTGTCTGTCTGTCTGTCTGTGTATTGTCTATTGTGCAGATCAAGGAGCAGATCCACCAGATGCACCTCAAGTCAAGCTTCAGCTCCGACCAGATGTAGCCACACAAGGAGAGACACAGCACGTGGTGGTCATCCACCCACTTTCTTTGTCTCCGTGGGTGTCTCCTTCTGTGTCAGTGTGCGGACCATCCTGGAGCTGCAGTCCGAGCCCCAGTTCCAATGCATCGCCCTCGACGACTTCTCCTCCTCCCACGCACACTCACTCCAGAGCCACAACCCCCACGCAGCGTCAATGCCAGCACTACTCCACCAACAACCACAGGAAAAGCCAAAGACAAAAGAGAGAGATGAGGCCAAGGGCGAGAGGCGGGAAGAGGAAGAGGAGGTCCAGCGTGTGTCTGGGCCGCACATTCTGGTGCCTGGGAAGCACCCTTTTGCGGCGACAGCTAACACTACTGGAAATGGCAACAATGGTGCTGGGGAGCAGGGAGCGGGGGAGGTGAGGACATGAATGACGTGACGTACGTCTGTGTGAGCCTTCTTTCTGGCCTGTCAGTAAGTGAGGGTTGGCATTGATTGTGTTGCGACTTTTATACTGTGTGCACGGTCATGTGTGTTCAACATGTGCTACGAGGCAATCAATCGTCTCGGTCAGTCAGTGCCCATCATCAAATATTGACAGCCCAGCAGCTCATCAAGGCATGCACATGCAATAATCGGTCTTACTTCAATGGATTGCCCCCCACGGAGTCCCACAGAGGCCCCAACAGCCGCTCCACCTCACTCATACCCTGACCACACACACACACGCACAGACATGCCCGCCCGCGCCACACACGTGACACATACACAATCGACGTGCTTTTCGCCTCCTTACCTCTCTCGGTTCACTCGCCGCCAGCCTGATGACCACCCCGTGTGCCCTGCCGCCCGCACCTCCCAGTCCCCCGCTCCTCAGCCGCACCTCCCCGCCCCTCTCCTCAACATAGACACCACTCGCATTTACCAGCAGTCCGTCAGCACATACCACTGTCGCGCCGCCAGAGTGCGGCCGCTTCCTGCTCAGCTCGGTGAGCAGGCGATTCGCCAGCTCCTCGACGGCGGGGCCGAAGAGCACGATGATGGCGAGCAGTCGGTAGGCGGCCATTGCGTGTGTGAGGGGCAGCGTGGGGGTCGAGGAGAGTTTGACTGAGTCGCGGAAGAGGGGGAGGGGCGTGGGGTTGTTGGGTGTTGGGGTGTCTGGTGCTACTGCTCCTGCGTGCTGCAGATGGATGACGTTGGTCGTCTCGTAGGCGAAAAATGCCCACAGCTCGTCACTCGCAACACGACCTGCAGCCGCACCACGGATGATGAGAGCATCACGGCGCGTCAACCAGTCTTCTCACCGGCCACGATCCAGTCGAGCAGGACCACGCTGCCACACTCGTGGGGAGAGAAGGGCCGCCTGGTGTCAGAGGCAGAAGGGTCATCGGCAGGCCTGGGGATGTACTCGACGGTGATGTGCTGATGCTGCCTGCAGGACACAACGCAGAAGGAGATAGCCGGCAGACAGGAAACAGACAGTACAGTGAATGAGATGATATATATTGGCATGTTAGTCACTTGAAGTGCGCATCTCTGAAGCAGATGATCGGATGTGGCACCAAGGCCAGAAAGCCACGCGGCGATACCTGAACAAGCGAAAGCGACCAAACCGGTGTCCGATGAGGCCAGGCCGGCACACGCATCCACCGCTCACCCCACCCTGCACGTCATCCTCTGTCCACTCGGCACAATGGTCTCGCTGCTGCCCCTCCCATGGTACACCATCCCGTACCCCTGCGTCGTCACCAGGGCACTCGCCGCACCCCTCACCTCCACCTGCAGATCGATGCAGTCCCCAGCCACCAACCCGGCGCCATAATTCAGCACGTACAGCCACTGACATGCGCTGCGCAGCGAAGGCACGTCCCCGCCTGTAGATCTGGGATGTTGCAATGAGTCGGTGGCCGCCGCCCGCTTGGGCACGTGCAGTCTGAGTGGGTAGGTGGCCTCGAGTGTGGCTGTGACTGGCCGCAGCGGCGGGGGAGGGAGGCAAGACGTGATGGGTGCGGGAAGAGTGTCGAAGACGGCTCTGCCGCGAGATATGGATGCTGATGCATCGGTGGATGTGCTCGAGGCCTCAGTTGGTGCACCTGACGACATCACCTGGGAAACTAACAGCCGATTTCGTCTCTTTTCGTCGTCATCTTCCTCTCTCCCTCCCTTTCGCGTCGTCGTCGGATCTCGGATCTCCTAGCCGCTGCGAGCTATTGAGTTCGGATCGAGATTGTCTCGCTTGCGCTTCGAAGTTCGTATATTTGCCTTCGAAAGCGTTCCGCCCCATCGAGGAAGCGTCTTTGCAGAGACCGCGACGTTCTATTGCCGACCCCCACCCCACCCCCCTTCTGCTTATCGCCATGTCGAAGCTGTCGAAGCTTTCGTCGGCGTATGACGCCTCGCTGCACCCCCGCCCCTTCATCCCCGCCCCCGGCAAGACCACCGGACCGCAGCAGTGCCGCAGCCAGGCCCGCAAACCCGCGAAAGACGGGAAGAATCCCTCTGGGCGCCGCGCTGAGGACGAGGCTGAGGACACTGCAGTGGGGTTGAAGGAGGTGGCTCGGCCGCAGGCCGTGATATCGACGGGAGTGCCCAGTGTGGAAACGGGCAACAGCACTCCCGTTGATATCACGGCGCCGCCAACCGTTCCCCCCCGCTTGAAGTTGACTATGGCGCCATGCATGCGCCTGCAGTGCAGCGTTCTTTCGCGTCGCCGCCATCGCACTATCGTCCCGTCCCGCTGCCGGTGCCCGTCATCGGCGACCCCCGGCTGATGTCGTCATATCCGCCTTTCTCAGCCCCTCGCACCCGCCTGCATTCCGAGACCTTCGGAAAGCTGATATCGTTTGAGGACATTCCCACAGGGCACCTCATCCCTGTGTATATGTTCTTCGGCACACCTGTGGCTTTGGCCGAGGCCAAGTGGGTGGCTGATTTGGCGGCCATGGGGCTCAAGGCGAAGATGATGGGCGGAAAGGTGGACGAGGAGACGGGAGAGGCCGTGACGGGCGGATATTGGGTGGAGACCATCCAGTGACACGACACGATAGCGACACGAGGACACACAGACGCAAAGGAGAGTGTGTGTGGGAACGGTGTGTGTGTGAGAGTGGTTTGATATGCGGCTGGGTGGATGGGTGGTGTGTGGTTGGTGTGAGAGAGCTAATGATAAGGAGAGGGATGTGACACGTACGTGAACATCCGCCCTGTCTCTCTCGGTGTGATGGATGGCGATGGGGGGGATGGATGGATGGATGGATGGGTATGATCGAGGGTTTTCAACGAATGCGTGCAGCGCAGTTTCTGCAGTGATGTGCTGTGTGATAAACATAAGCCATGATCACATGATCCACTAGAGGTTACTTACCTTCATGATTGAGTTGGTGATTTCTCGGCTGTTTCTCCTCCTTTTCGGATGAGCGAGCGTGTATCGGACTACACCCAACCCCCTCCACCTACCCTCATCCCGCGAGACGGCGGCGGGCCCCCCTGTTGCGCATGCAACGAGAAAGGGACGTCTGCGCTGTCCACATGCAGCCGACGATGTGACTGCCGGAATCACAAGCGCCTCTGCACTAACTGTGTTAACTGCAAGCGCGGCACATGCACGAATTTTGCGTATCCGGCGGACCCGGCCGTTTGCGATGATGATGATGATGATGAATCGGATGCCGTCTCTGGATGGATTCGCTCTCGCTTGTCTATCGCCCTCGCGCGTGCGACTAGCTTCTGTCTGCGTGGTGCTGATGGGACTGTATTTGTATGAGTATCACGGACACACAGACGAGTGTTACGGTTAATGACAGTTTCCACTGTGCTGTGTGCATCACACAGGTCGCTCTCTTCAGATTTGCTCTCTTGCTCTCAATCATGCCTCGCTGCAGTGGGTGGGGCTACTTACTGCATGTGCATATGTACGTGTGCAATTGAGTGTTCTTCCTTCCTTCCTATCGATCTGTGTGCGTCCGTGTATCGTGGGCTGTGAGCTGCCTATTTTTCCCTCGATCTCTGCTTTGGCGAGAGGAGGACAGACAGATGGATGGACACATCGATGTGACAAATGGATGGGTGTGGTGGATGGTGAGCCTCTCTTGCGTGCAGACGGACAGACAGACCGCTTCACTTTCACATCAATGTACAATAGAAAACCAAACAGATTGAGCGGTGTGTGGACAAGTCTGAGATTCTCCTCATACATGCAATGCATCAGTCACAAACACACACGGACGATTTGGGGTCTTGCACTGCTTGTCGCACACATGCAGCACTGATGAATGTGTGCACTTGCGATCGTCAGACAGGCGGCCACGCTCTTCTGTGTGTGTGTGTAGATGGGCGCTCACAGTTCTCCGAACCAGTCGTCTTCGTCTGCGGCCTTGCTGCTCTGGTGGTGCTCGGCAGGGGCGGCCTTGGGCTGCTGCTGCTGGGGCGGCTTCATCGGCACACTCGATGCCTTGCGGCCGATGTTGAATCCGAGCGCCTTCAACCCACACACACAGACACAGACAGAGATGACATGAAAACATGCCACTCCATGTGTGTCGCACTGATGTCTCCATACCTTTGGTTTCTGCCGCGGCTCTGCTGGTCAGGTGGCTGGCTTGGCAGGTGGCTTGGCGACGGGAGTGGGCTCCTTCCGTGCCTGATATCATGACACAACAACAGCAAGACGATCCATCTACCCACCCTCCTACCCACCCAGCCACTGTCCGTCTGTGTGTGGTAGACTGACTGGTCTGCAGGAGTGCTTTGAGTTTGGCGTTGCCTCGACTGGATGCGGACGAGGCAACCGACTGGGGGCTGGTGTTGGGCTGTTTGGAGTTGGGGTTGGTTGGCGGCCGCAGTGGGAGCAGGCGGGTCTATCCTGGGCAGTTCCCAGACGAGGGCAACGATTCAGGTGTAGAAGACGCTACATATCAACAGGAGTGTCACATGCAACCCACACATGCACCCACCCATCCATGCCCTTCGGTCATGCGTGTGTCTTTGTGTGTAGTCTCTGCACGTGCAGGCAATCGCCGCCGAAGGCAAAGCAGCAAGAGATGGACATCTATGCACCAATGCATCTCTAGCCGGGCGTCATCCACCAGTGCACGTGATGCAGACACACAGGCCTGCCTTTCTCTCGTCTCTCTAGTCGAGCCATCCAGCCAGATGCTCCTCGCTCTCCCTCTGCCGCTTGGTGCCCCTTCCCTGGGCTGCACACACGTCAGCTGCATCCAGCTCCATCCTCGCGGCTCTCACAAAGCCGAAGAACTGGTCCCTAGCAGCAACATCAGCAGCAGCAGCAGCACCAGCAGCAGAGGTGCTATCGTCGTCAGCCCAGCCGCCTCTTTCCTCTCCATCAGGAGAGGCCGTCGATGTGGGCGAGAGGTCCAGGGCGTCAGTGCTCGAAGGATCTTGGCTCGAAGACCCCTCCGCTAAGGGCAGAAGGAGGCGGGTGCGTGGGGGCATCGCTGCCGGCGCAGCAGGAAAGTTTCTCCGTTGAGATTGAGGGAGGGCAAACGCCCACACAAAGATAGCAAGCCACACAAGAAGCGCCTCAATGGCCACATGAAGGGCGGAGGATAGAGGGATCGTTGCTGCGGTAGGTGGCTCGCCGAGAAGGCAAAGTACTTGGGTGCTGACGCGCACCGTCGAAAAGCCCAAGCTGCAGACGAGGGCGAAAGGCAAAGAGATCTCCCGACAGAACGGCACAACGGCCAACAGAGAAAAGCCGAAAGTGAGCCTCGCTAGCGTCTCTCTCAGTGGCTGCAGGTGCCCCTCAAAGCGACACGTCGACGAGGTATCAGAGGAAAGCGATGAGTTCCCAGCGGCTGCAGGGGCACCAGTGCCATTGGAGAGAGAGGCAGATCCTTGTTGATGCGATGAATGCGATGAAGAAGACGCGTTGGGTGAGGAGGGAAGAACAGACGGGGAACGTTGAGATGGCAGCCCACGCTGGCGGAACAGCAGGATCGTTGTGAGGAGGGACATGACGATTGGAAGAGGACGGATGGGCGTGCCGACCAGCTCCAACATGCCGATGCGCCTCTCGCCGACCAGCAGGGCTGCAGGGAGGAAGCCAGGCCGACCTCCTGGGGCGCTTTCACCACTAAGAGCCTCGCTTGCAATGGCCAATGATGGATGCGAAGAGGGTGGGAGATCTGGGCCCGAGAGCGAGGTCGGTGTGGATGAGGCCGCCTGGCGGTGGGAACGTTGGGAGCGTTGCGTCGCAAGAGCCTCCTACCGCATCATGGTGGTGCTGGTGTGATGGTTGAGATGAGAGATCTGATGCAGCAGCTCGGGAGGTAGATCCAGGGCGGCCTTGCCGAGGAAGCGTTGTTGGTCAGCGCCCTCCACGCTTGCCGCGAGCAATGGAATGCTCTTCTCTACTGCAGTGGTCCAAATGCCGTGCGCGAGAGAAATGGCCAAAAAAGGAGCGATGAGGATCGTAAATCCACAACGATCCTCGCCGCGTAGGGAGCGGGGCGATGATGATGCGACGCATTTGCAGCAGCTTTGCCGCAGCTTGCCGCTATGGCCGTACATCAGCACCATCTCCATTCCGCATCTCAGGACCACCCTTCCGCTTCCTGTCCACACTCGCCGCCAAGCCCCTCCTCCGCTATCGCGAGGCTGCTGGATGCCTGTCGCTGGTCAATCAGGACAGGCGGCCCCTGACCACCCCTCAAATCGTCGGCCTCATCGATGGAGAGGGATGCTTCACGTTGTACCGGGTTCGCAAGGGCCTCTACCCAGATTTCAGACTTGCAATGAACATGAAGGACCTGTGCCTTCTGGAGCGTCTGCAGAAGTCCCTGGGTGCGGGGCACCTCTACCCGCATATGCAGAACAACCTTATTGGCTACGAAGTTCGACTGAAAGAGCAATGTCGCCGGCTGGTTGAGGTGTGTGACGCCTTCCCGCCGCTGACGGTAAAGGGCTCTGACTACGCGAGATGGAGGGAGATAGTGCTCATCCAGCAGGAGAAGGGGACGGTCGCAAGTCGCAATGAGTGCCTTGCCATTGCTGAGAAGATGAATCGTGGCCGCCCGCATGGTGCTTCGACTGGCCTGGAGCTCTTCCACGACAGCAGCAGCATCAGGGAGGATGAGGTTCTGCAGTGGCTGTCGGGCTTCATCGCTGGAGAGGGCTGCTTTTTTTCCGAGCGTAAAGTACTAGACACAGTTGTCGGGTTCGCGCTGGAGCAGCATGCAGCAAAGTGCGAGACTGATATACTTCCTTCGGGACTTTTTCGACATCGGCCGAATAAGTCAGCACCAAAACATGGCTCGTTGGGCGGTTGATCGGCGAGATGACAAGCGAAGACTGATCTCCCTCTTGTCCCGCTGGCCTCCTTTTGGCTGCAAGCTGGTGGACTTCATCCACTGGCGCAGCTTCATTGAGGACAGTGACGAAGCCATGAAGATGCACTGCAGCAGGTGGAGACAGCATTTTGATTGGGAGCTGTATGACCCAGCTGAGTCCCACCTGGCCTGGTACACGTGCAAGTATACCCACTTTCGATCAGATGTGCAGAGAGACAAACTCAGTACCTGGCGGAGGGGCGGAAGCGAATCAGGGAGGAACGCAAGAGAGATATGCATGATGCGGATGGACCACAGGGCACTGAATGAAGATGTGTGTAGTGCTGGTCAATCAGATGACATTTGCACAAGCTCAATTAATTGATTTCATTCATCTGTCGATGTCCACGCACCCGTCCGTTCATGCATCAGTCCCGCACCTACGCAAGGCAAAAAGCAGCGACCACACCCACACCGACACGCACCAACACCAGCCCGCCCCCCAGCCCCACCATTAGTCTACTCATCATCCAAATTAATGGCAGTGTCGATGGAGACCCCCCTGCCATCTCTCACAGCAGGGCGCCGCGGCATACCCACAGGCGGCGGCCCCACAATGGCAGATTCACTGTACTGTGGGTATGCCCCGGATGAGACCTTGGGCCACTGCCACTGCCCCGCACCACTCAACCCAGCAGCCGCCCCCATCGGCTGCTGGCCAGGCCGCAATGGTCGTACCTCGAACATCGTTTGCCCCGGAAGAGGAGGCCCGAAGGCCGGCGGACTGTCTGGAGCGATGCCCCGCCCCGCTCCACCCACGCCGCTCCGCGACAGGCCAGACATGGTCCCCTGAGGACCAGCGGCAGCCTGACGTGTGCCTTCTTGACGTATGATGAGTCGGTCAGTGTCATCAGCCTCCCTCCCGCTCGCTACGGGGTTGAGGAAGGGAGGCACCTCAGGCAGACCCTCATCACCGGGGCGGAGGGGAGGGGGGCGCCTCGCGGCAGCAGCAGGAGGCGGGGCTTGTTTGGGTGGCGGAATGGGGGCCAAGGGCGGCCAAGCGTGTCTGGGTGGGGGCCCGCCCTTGGGTGCCGGCGGGGGTCCGCCCTTGGACTTTGGCGGAGGGCCCTTGGGCTTGGCCGCTGGTGGCGTCTTGGCTTTTGGGTGAGCGGGGGGAGCCTTGACCTTCTGCTGGAGCTTAGGAGGGTTCTTGGCCTGCTTCTTGCCCTTGGCCTGCGCCTTCTGCTTGGCTCGACCCGCACGGCTGTCTGGTGTGGGTGGACGGCTGCCCTGCCGCTGCTGCTGCTGCTGGTGCTGCTGGTGGCGCGCTTTCTTGGACTTGGGCTGCCCGTGATGCTGCTCGGGCTGGCTCGACTGCTGCAGCTGCGGGGGATTCTTCGGGCGCCAATGCTGCGAACCCGCCGGTTTCGGGGCAGCAGCACTCGGCCCGGCACTGCACGTACACAGACACACCCAGAGATACATACAAACACACGACCATGAGCGTCCCCTGTTTCGCCTCACTTGTGCTGCTGGCCGCCAAGGACAGGCAGGTGGAAAGAGGGTTCCCGTGCGGCCGGTGTGGGGCTCCTCTTTCGCTTGTTCTTCCTCTTGCCTTTCCTCGGGGAGCCAGGAGGGGGCGGCTCGCCGGGCATGGGACGGCCGGGAGGCTGTACCTTGGCCGATGGCGGTGGCGGTGGCAGGGGCGCCAACACGGGTGGCGGCCTCCACTGGTTCGGAGGGGCTGGGGGCCTGGGTTGGGGGACGACGGGTGGTGCTCGGACCTCTGTGGGATGGCGAGGCTTGGGCGTGTGTCTAGCCGCAGGTGAAGCAGCTTTAGCGGCAGCAGGTGGCGGCTCGACAGCCGGCGGCCGCTCCCCAGACCTCCTCACCTCCAGTGGAGGGAAGAGACTTGGGAGTGAGGGGAGAGACTTGAAGTGCTCCTCGAGGCACCGCTGCTCGGGGCTGATGGTGTAATCGAGTGTCTCGTCCTGGCAGGCCACCTCCGTATCAGTGCGCACTTGGGCTGGATGGGGGTATCTGAGCAATGTCTGCTTGACCGCATGAGGAAGCAGATTGCGCCGCTGGAGTGCCGTGTACAGCCCGTGGGTCCTCTCGTAATGATCCACGGACACTTGGCACCGCTCGCGGATGGTTGGGCCGTCGACCATGGCCGTGTCACAGGGCGGCGCTGAATGAGAGCGGTAGTCCTTGATGGCCTCCTTGACCGCCGGCTGATGGGCGAGATGGACGAGAAGAGAGAGCGCCTTGCGGGACACCCGGATGCCGCGCTGCTCCCACAGGCCCTTCTCGATGGCCGCCAGAGGGTCAGGCACATCCCCTTGCTGCTGCTGCTGCTGCTGCTGGCCCTCTCCTCGCTGCTGATCCACGGCCGCGTCGCCGCCCCGGTCCCTGCCGCTCCTCTCCTCCGTGCCGCCTCTAACGACCACCCCCTCCCCCGTGCCCCCCTTCTCCTTCGATTTCTCACCCTCTACAACAGCAGCATCCTTGCCACTCTCTGCCACCGGGTCCGCTCGCTGCTGACCACCAGTACCTCCGGCCGCCGCTGCTGCCGGCTCCATTCGCCCCTCCTTGACGGCACCAGCAGTGCTACGGTCTGCATCCAACACGGACACACACACGCGAATACAACGAAGTCCTGCACTTGACATGTCTGGCGGCCCACCTCACCTGGTGATGGTGTCACCCTTGCCGCTCCCGCCATGCCCGCAATAGGTAGAACCCTCTCTCCTGGTCCTGGTGTGTCCGCACCACGAGGCGATGGCGCCTTGCCTTTGGGCTTGGGTGCGGCCGGGGGCCCCCATCGACTTGCGCCGAGGACTACACCCATGAGACCCCGCCTGGGCTCTTTGCCGACTGGACGGGAAGGCTGCATGCGGGATTGGCAGCGAGGACCAAAACCGGCAGATTCCGCCGTATCCTCAGTGACACCACCTGGCCTTCATCCTCTATGTCTGTGAGGTGAGATCTTCCGCCTTAAAACAACTTAAAGAGCTGCACCGATGCGCCCTCACGACGAAAGTGTGCGATTTGCCCCGACTGCAAGCTGAGCTCGCACTTGGCAAGAGCTCGCACAAGGAGGAGAAAATGCTTCCCCACACATCAAGACGAGAGACCGGCATGGTAACGTCGTCACCTGGCTCCTATCCTCTTTCCATCGATACCTCGCGGCCCTCGTCCAGCCAGCGACGCTCCTCTCCATGCCACAGATCTGCCCATCTCGAGAGGCTCCCCACCCTCCCCCTGATGCTACTGCTCCTCCTGCTGAGGCTGGACCCTTCCCTAAGTGCCGCATCCAAGATGCCCGCGAGGCCGATGTCCCACCAAGAAGCATTCTTTCTTTCACCCCCTCACGCAAGCAGGGCATCGTTGCCGCTGCCAGGCCGTCTAGCTATGAGGAGGTTCAGCGGCGATGTGGCGGGTGATGGTGTGAGGACGAGGGTGGCGGCTGGGCCGCTTGAGAAAGAGTCGTCAGCAGCTGAGGCGAGCAGCGGCGACGTGGACACATCGCGGAGGAAAGGGGGGCTGTTTGGCGGTCTGTCGTGGCAGTCGGTGTTGCAGAGTGCGATGCTGCTCATGGTGCCGCTGGCGCTGCCCTTCTGCGCTGCCCCCACGATGCCGGCCTTCGCCACCGATCCCGTCAAAGTGGGAACCTGTCTGCTGCAAAAGTGCAACCTGCAGGTGGGAGGGGAGGGGAGAAGATGGTGTGCTTGCCTGGAAAGGATCTGTCTGTGTGTGGCTGTGTGGATGCTTGCATTAATGCAGTTGGCTCAGTGTTTGCTGAACCCCCGGTGTGCGGCTGACATCGTCTGTCTAAACCTCTGCAACAACAAGCCTGACGAGGCAGAGTGCCAGGTAGACACACACACACACGGTGCGCATCGACGAGGTCGGATGGCACAAGTTGTGCCTGTCTGTCTGTCTGTCAGGTGAAGTGCGGTAATTTGTTTGAGAACGAGGTGGTGGGCAAGTTCAACGCTTGTGCGGTGAGCGACAAGAAGTGCGTGGACCAGAAGATGGACGACGGCAGCTACCCCGACATCCCCTATGAGGCCTTCAAACACGACTTCGACACCGACCTGTTCAAGGGCAGGTGGTACATCTCCGCGGGACTCAACCCCATCTTCGACATATTCGACTGCCAGGTACGCTGTCTCTCTCACACACACACACACATCCATCCATCCTCTCTCTGTTGCTGTCCTCTGTCTGTCAGGTTCATTTCTTTGACGCGCCTAGCCCCGGGCGCATCTACGGGAAGCTCTACTGGCGCATCACGGAGCCCGACGGTGAGTTCTTCACTCGCGACACGGTGCAGCGGTTCGTGCAGCAGGAGGACAAGGGGCTGCTGTTCAACCACGACAACGAGTACCTGCACTACCAGGATGACTGGTACATCATCGACTACGAGCCTGACGACTTCATTGCCATCTACTACCGGGGGAGGAACGACGCATGGATCGGCTATGGAGGGGCCGTGGTCTACTCGAGAGACGCTGCCTTTCCGGAGAGACACAGAGAAAGGTCAGACAGACAGCAACCGTGGGCAGAGGGAGAGAGAGATCAACAAGGGGGAGGGGCCAAGGTGTTAACAAATGTGTGTGTCCTGGCTGCAGGATAAGTAACGCTTTTTCCAAGGCGGGCGTCGATTTCCAGAAGTTTGCGCTGACCGACAACTCGTGCAGACCCCTGGTGAGCCGAGCGCAGACAGAGACACCGGGGCGTCAGCCGCCTGTTTGCATCTCTCTCCCTCTGTTTTTTTATGTGATGTGTGTGACATAAATCAGGACAAGTCTCCGTCCTTCTTGCGTGCTCAGTACGCCAAGAAGCTGCTGCTGAAGGCAGAGCGGAACATCCAGGAGGAGCTCACTTCTGTCAGAGGGTCAGTGAATGCAGTGGGTAGCTACACACACACACACACACACACATACATCCCTATCCACAGACACACTTATCCCGCTGTGTCGCTCGTTATGTGTGTCAGCTACGCCGCCAACACGCTGCTGCGTGAGGAGAAGGAGTTCCAGGCTGCCGTAACCAACCTCGAGACACAGATCAAAGACTATGAGGTCACATCACATCCAGCACACACAAGCGGAGAGGAACGTTTTGACAGCGAATCTAATCTCCATGTGTGCGCGCTGCGTTTGCAGAATCAGTTTGTGTTCAGCGCTGCGCGCGAGCTCGAGGAGCTGCTGCGGCCCCTGTTTTCCCTTGGAAGGGGCGGCAAGGAGGAGCTGGTCAACAAGCTCTAATCGACGGCGCGTGCGTCGGCAGTTTGGGTGGTTTGTGAATGCAGTCTGGCTGCAGTGCAGTTCCAGTGCAGTGGATGCACAGAGAGAGTTTATCATGATGAGATACAGACAGCAATCAATGGTCAGACAGGCTAGCTAGGCTGATGACGACGACTGCCTTCACGTGTGTGTGTGTCCAAGCAGAGGGTTTTTTGGTGCATACGTCTGTCTGTCTACTGGTACAGTTGTTGCAGCTGATGATGGTGACTGAGGTATCTAGATGGATGAAGACTGACTGCGTTTTGTGCCGATGATGACTGACTGACTGAGGTAGCTGAGGGGGTATGTAATGCATTTGACTGACTGACACTGAATCGACTTGCCGCGCGAGTATTTTTCGGCGCGAGGGCTCGGCAGACAACCAACCAAGCAACCAACCCAAAGAGCTGACTACTGCCTGAGGGCGGCGTGCGTGCCGTGAGCGTTTTTGCCACACACCTGGACAGACTCCTCGATCATCCCACGCATATGCGCGCGTCAACAGCTGTTAGTTACGACACTTCAGAACCCTCCAGTCCCATCCATCCATCCATCCATCGTGTTTGCGCCTGTCTAGCTAGACGGCTCATAAGCTGGCGTGTGGTGGCCGCATGAAAGAGGTGCTTTGACGGGATCAGTTCCGTCACGCACCCCTCACACGACCACCACACGCCAAGCATCACGAGCCACCACTCGCGAAAACCAAGAGAGTCGATCATTGCAGCCAGCCATCCGTCCCCACATTCATGGACACACCCATCCCGTCTGTGCGCAATGTGCGCACTCCCTTTTCTTCTCAGCGCTTAAACACTCGTGTGTGTGGGCGTCAGTCAACACACACAGTTAGTGAATGGATAAGTGGAAAACTGGCCGAAAATCACGTGGGAGGATGTACACATGGGAGGTCGACGGAAAATCCCTCCCACGGACACACACGACACGCAGGGTTAAAAAGCCACCAACACAACATGGATGCCCTCCCTCATGGATGTAAAACACTCGATGTATCGATCTGGTGGGAAGCGAAGCTCTCCACTCCACTGCAGTGCAAGATGCAATCAATGCGATGACCACAGTCTCGGCATGACGGTCTCTCTCTCTGTCTGAGAGTCTCAGAGCCTCGCTCTGGCGCGTGTCACCTCACACTCGATCAGGCCTGATCGATAAGGTGGCAGGGATCCTTGATTGCCCTCCCTCCCTGTCTGTGTGCGTGTTTGGTTCACCTGAGGGGTCGTCGGTAGGGTAGAGTATTTCCTGCTGGTTGGTGAGTCCGAATCGGCCGATGTCGAAGGGGAAGTGGTGGATGTTGGGCAGCACCAACTTGACCGACTGAACCGATGGACACACTGACATACACGCGCACACATACAGCGGCAGAAACCAGCCCTGTGTGGACAGTCCGCGAGGTGGCTTTCTCTGTCGTGCCGCACCCTCCATTGCGCGCAGGCCCATCTTGTACATGGTCTCCTGCACCTGCACACACAAACACACACACCACACAGACGCCGCAGCAATGTGACCAAGCGTCTGCGCACGTGCCCGTTTCTTTCCTCACCGAGGGGCTGTATTCGCCACCCTCGGGCGGACCTGGCCGGACAAGACAAAAGAAAGACAGACACGTCAGATGAGGTGGCAGCGAATGCATGGAAGAAAGGCGGTGTTCTCTCGGTGTCTTGCCGTACCAGCAAAGACCTCCATCATGCTGTCACGGATCTCTGTCAAGCACAGACAGACAGACAGACAGACATTCAGACGGCTGGTGATTGGGTGCTCATGCGGCCCCCAGTAAGGGTCCTTACTGTCGTGCAGCAGGTGGAACTGCCCCTCGGGGAGGGGCGCACCGTACGTCCACTTAGCGTCGACCTTGGTGCAGAAAATCCGATCCCTTCACAAACAAACAAACAACCAACACGTGTCCTACATGCTGGATGCCTCTATATTGTGGGAGGTGGGCGGCTACTTGGCGGGTGGCAGTGTGGTGTATTCGTCGACGATGTAGCCCTCGAATCCCGACTGTGTGGTCTTCATGAGCTTCAAATCCTCAATGCCTGACGTCACGGAGTAGGGGCCCGACCGACTGCCCACACACGTCGCCACCCTCTTCTCAGGCCCGGTGGCGCTGAACACGTGCTCGTGCGGCTTGCCAGACACAGCTGCGAGCGAGAGCGGTGGGTGCACACCCACACACAGATGTGTGAGCTGTTCACATCGATGTGGCGTGAGCTTACTCAGTCTGTTCCAAAGCTTCTCTGTGAGTGTGACGGTCACACGGTCGATGTGGGAGTGGCGGCTCAGGAAGTGACGCATCAACGCCAAACCTGACACACACATACAGACAGATGATATGAGGTCGGTGTGGCTGCATGACATGATCCGTGTGGCTGTGTTATCTATCTGGGCCACCGACCGAAGTCTTCGATGGAGTCGAAGTTGCTCTTCTTGGCGATGACGTATGTGGTGTTCTTGACCGTGTCGGTTGGCACAATGCGGCCGTTGTCACCATGCGTGTACGCCTCCAAGAACGAACCTACAACAGGCGGCAAGAGAGGAACGACACTCCACAGACACGTCCAGGCCCTTCCCTTGTCAGCGCGGGCGTGTGCGCATCTACCCACCCTCGAGCAGGGTCTCGACTTCCACCTCCATCAGTTCGTGCCACGGCCCTGCCCCAGCCGACTTGGGTGGCGTCTTGCGCACGCGCACCACGCGCACCTTGGTCTTGCCGTAACGACCATTGACCCTGCAGTACACCAACCGACACACCAGACCACACCACTGCAGATGCACTGGGGCAGTGACACTGATCTGGCTCACTCAGCCATGATGTAGCAGCAGCGGAAATGGAAGATCTCACTCACGCCAAGCCTCTACAGGCTCTCGGCCACCGTGCGAGCACCAGACTAAGGCCGCAGCAATATCCCTCCTGCGAGCTCGAGGCTCGCAGATCTCAACCGTTTGGTAGCACCACAAGAATTCACAATATGCCCTACGCACAATGAGCACCTCTCTATCTTCGTCTCTCCATCCCAGCGGTACTCGGCTGGAGTATCTGGTGAAGGTGATCATCCATGACGTGCGGGATTTGGTCTTCAAGGAGGGCGACCAGACCGTCCTGCCGTCTCCCTATGTGGAGGTCAAGGTGCGGGACACAGTCAAGCGGACGTCCACCAAGCCGCAGACGGCCACGACCTTTTACAATGAGATACTGTTATTCCAAGACCTGTCGCTGAGCAGCAAGGAGTTCAGCACCTCCACCATCGATGTCAGGGTGTACCACCAGTACATGTTCACCACGCCACTGGTCGGCCAGTATGTGGTGGCCTTCCCCGTGGCCTACGGCAGGCCCCAGCACTACATCCACCGCCAGTGGGTGCTGCTCTCACAGCCAGCGGGGGAACCCGGCGAGGTCAAGGTGAGTGAGGATGGATGGAAAGATGCCTCGCTGCATGCCGTCTCTCTGCCTGTCTCAATCAATCGCTGTCTCTTGTCTTGTCCAGGGCTATCTGCGTTTGAGTGTGGGTGTGTTTGGTCCGGGTGATGTGCTGCCGTCTGTCAAGGACACCGGAGCAGACGTCAGCCGAAACAAGCATCTGTTTGGCCGTTTTGTTCTCAGTGTTCCTCCTCGTGGCTGTTGCAGGAGGAGGGCGGCGCGGCTGCAGAGGCAGGCGGGGCGTCAGACATGCGATTTGACGCCTACCAACTCAATGTAGGAGCACATGACCCCCGCCCACCCACCCCTACTTCCCGTGTCTGTCTCCTGCCTCCCTCCCTTGTGCAGGTCAACATCCACCGCGCCCTGGACCTGCCTCGTGTGGAGGGTTTCCTGACGGCGATTAACCCCTTCGTGCAGGTCAAGTTCATGGGGCTGGTGTGCACCTCCGCCACGCTGTACGACAGCGTCAACCCTGAGTGGAATGAGACCATCCGAATACCCGTCATCGTGCCATGCATGGAGAGGGTGGTCGTGTGTGAGGTCTGGACACACCACATATCACAAACCACCTTCATCGGCATCGACACCATCGCATTCGATCGACTCCTGGAGGAGCGCATGAAGCCGAGATGGACCAACCTCTACTGGCACCCGCCCGCTGCGGGTACGCGTATGCCAGCCAAGCTTTCTCTCAAGATCCATTGTCTTCGTTGGTATGTGTCGTCGCTTCAGGCATGTCGATGATGTTGGATCGGCTGGGTGCCCTGGCGCTTGGCAGCAAGGAGACATCGCAGCAGCCTGTCTACGCCGGCAGAATTCTCCTCTCAGCGTCGCTCCAGAAGACCACCACGCCACAACGAAGTAAGCCAAATTGCACAAACTGAAAGAAGCCCACTTGTCTCCACTCTGATCCGCCACAACCTATGTGTGCAGCGTCTGCGCCGTGTCCTCGGGCTACCGATCCCCCCAGCCAGGAGTTCTGCATCTGGACTGACCTATACGAGGTGGCGGGGCTCGACGCGTTCTCGCCGACAGAGATAAAGGTCAGTAGCACACATATGCAACACTTGATGGATCGTAAACGTCGGTCGGTGTCTCTTCCGTATGCAGGTAGAGGTGTGCATGGGTCCGGTGATTTGGCGGTCGCGGACGGTCAAGAAGGCAGACGAGGCGAGCTTTGTCTTCGACGATGCGGGAGGAAGGCTAGAGGAAAGGAAGATCGACCTGCCTGGTCGATACGTGAACGGACACCAAAAGGGACGCAAGCACGCTCGGCAATCATGCGTTCTTTATCTGTTTGGCAGAGCCATCTGAGGCCTTTGATTTGTGTCTGTACGTCATAGGGTCCTCATTCTTCAAAGGCACACAAAGGTGACTTCATGGTGGTCAGTATTCTTATTCTGCAGCCTTGTCTTGTGTCTCACTCAGGATCGCTTTCCTGCGGGTGCCCTTCGTGGAGGTGTTCAAGAGCGGCAGTGGGCCCAAATGGCACAGTTTGCAGCCCTACCAGGAGGGCTCGGCCGTCGAGGGCAGCATCCTGGTCAGCTTCTGCGCCATGGAGAGCAGCAAACAGCCCGTCAGGCGGGGGAGGGTCGCTTACAGCCGGACAAAGTAAGCAGACAGAGGGAGAGAGCCGGCGGGGCGGGGCGGGGCAGCTCCTTCATGACTGTTGCGATTGGTCCTTCTGTAGGTGGCTATTCCGTGTATATACCAAGCAGTGAACCTCCCCATTGCGGACATCGACGGGATGTCAAACCCCTACTGCAAGGTCACAACCCAAGTGACTCAACCAAGCAGTATCCCCGAATGCATTCCATTGTGCTGCAGGTGGTGTGCGGCGGTCGGTTAGCGCAGACCGCGTGCATTCAGGACACACAGAATCCCTGTTGGTGGTGGGCTGAGGAGTGGGAGGTCACACTACCCGAGAACCTCGACTACGCGAAGGATGTCACGGTGAGGGGTTGCGTCGCGTCAGCAGCAGTGAGACATGCAATTTAATATTGTTGTCTGTCTGTTCACTACAGGTAGACATATATGACCATTCGGGCATCGTTTCGAGCCACAACAAGCTGTGCGGGACCAAGTGAGTCAAGCCATGGGTGCAATAAGACAGACATGCTGCCTGAGGATCTTCCTGTGGGGTGGGGTGGGGTATGTGTCTTGTCAGAGTGACGGTGACGACGATTCCCCGCGAGTGGGTGGATGAGCCCGTCTGGCTGAACCTCACTGCCCAATCATTCTTCTGCGATGTGAGAAAGAGGACGAGGCATGACGATGTAAACGCGCAACCTATATTATGTCTCGTGCAGACGAAGCTATTGTGCTGCTTTGAGCTGCTGCCGAAGGACGAAGAAGAGCGGTATCCGTTCTATCCAGAGATCCGTGTGAGAGGGGAAGCGTGACCACACCTCTGCTGCCTCTCAATGTGACTGTGGCCCTCTCATTTGCTTCACCCAGCCCGAGACTCAGCTGTGGTACGTGGAGCTGCTGCTAATCGGTGTTCGGCTCAAGAAGGATGAGGGACGACAGCCGATGGTCGAGGTGCGGTACGAGCCTGACGAAGGATCGGCATGGACAGTCCGCACACGGCGGCCACTCAAGGGTCGGCCGGGGCAGCGCAACTTCAACTACCTGCAGATCTTCCAGACAGAGCTGTCACTGCCCAAGGACATTAACTACCAAAGGTACCTGGAGGTGGTCGTCATCGAGCCTGCGTCGGGCCTCAACCTCACCGACACCGTCCTGGGTGCCACCTACATCCACCTCACCCCCTCACTGCCCGGACTGTCTCGCACTGCGAGAGAGAAATTGCGACAGACCTTCCGGCCGAAGACATACGAAGAGCTGAGACATGAGAGCATTGCAGCCAAGAAGGTATGGATGGGTACATGTGTCGTCTCTACTCTTTGTGCTGTAATGTACTCGCCTCTTCGTGCTGCAGAGGGACGTTGAGAAAGGTGCCGAGGAGGCCGATGGTGAGGAATTCGAGCTGCCAGGAAATGACGAAGAAAAACTCAAAGAGCTTGAGGTACATACATATACGCAACTCCGCCACATGGTCGGTTCCCATGCATATATTGATGCTGTGGTCTGCAGGTCTGCAGGCAAGAGGGCCGTTATCTCCCGATAGAGAACCCGAAGCTCTTGAACACCCGCTTCATCGGCCAGGGTGAGTTCGTCAAGCGACGGCAGCCAGGCACGTTCGTTGTCAGCGGAGAAAAGCAATGCGATGTGAGCCACTGGATAGAACGCTGCGCTGTCCTTAGACAGAGCAATCGATAGATGTGCTCCGTCTTAGGCGGAGGCGTTTGATGCTCAACTGACGGCATTTGAGTGGCCGGTGGAGATGGCAAGCCCATCTCTCGCAGCCACGCCCAGCATCGAACGCCCCGAGCTGGCGAATGTGCTTGAGAGCGATCTGCCTGGCGAGCTGTGCCCCTTCCAGGTGGCCTACTTCGCAAGGGCCTCTCAGGGCGGCTGCTGGCTTTGGGTGAGTGGGTGCCGGAGACAGTCGGCTATCTCCTCTACAACTGCAAGATCAGCGAGGAGGGCTTCAACGAGTACGAGGAAGACGATGTCATGAAGGCTTTCCCAGCGAGCACTGGCGGCAAGCAAGACGCGGTTCGCCCATCCACTGCCGAGACGACCGCATCGTGGTTTGGGAGCTTTATGGGGTTCGCCAGCAGCGGCGCAGTGCCAAAATCTGACCATCACACAGACGAGGAAGCAGCTTCTCAGCAGATGGGTGAAGATGAAGGGCAGAACGAAACGAGCGAAGAGAGTGGGAACGAGGCGGCCAACACGGCAAGGAGCAAGGTGGCGTTCGCTGCGCCCAGCGAGTCTCGTGTGCCGACGAAGCGGCGGAAGGACCAGAGCATGTTCGACAGGCTGGATGAGCTGGAGGGAGACTGGAACAAACTCAAGGCTCACATACGGGAGAGCGCTGAGTTCATCCTCCGGGTCTATCTGCTGTCGGCCCACGGCCTGACCTGCAGCTCACACAAGCCCTCTGTCTACCCTATGTAAGTAAGCTAGCGAGACCAAGAAGGAGGGAGGGTTGCCATGACACGTCAGGGATTGTTTTGGTTTGTTCTGTCAGAGTGTCGAATCTGGAGGAGACTTTTGTGCAGACTTCAGTCAAGGAGGACGAGGGCGTCTTCTTTATCAACGACACCAGATACGCCAGGAAACAGGGCATCGAGCCAGGTAGAAGGACACACAGGCATACGAAGGCACCGCCGGCTCCCCCGTCTGCTTGCGTTGCGTGGGCATCAGAGTTTCAGAAGTGCTATGTCCTCAACTGTTCGTTCCCCGAGTGCGCGACCCTCCAGATCCGCCTGATGAAGCGCAATACCCTGCTCTATGAGGAAGAGATCGGTCGGACCACCATCGACTTGGAGCGCCGATGGTTCAACGTCAAGTGGCAGAAATGGATGGAGGACAACAAGGTGCCCATCGAGGCACGGCCGCTGCTGCTCGTGACGACCGGCAGCGCGGGGAGCGACGAGGGCGGGCTGACTGTCGCCCGAGGGGCACTTCGTTTGTGGGTTGAAATACTCATGAAGCAGCAGGTGGCCAAGCGGCCAATCGAGGCCCTCCCGAGCCCTGATCCCGAAGAGTGGGAACTGAGGGTGAGAAGACGATGAAACTGGCTGGCGAAGCTGTGCACTACTTGTTTCTGTCTCAGGCAGTGGTTTGGCGAGTGAAGAATGTCAGAAAGGAGAACCAGGACTCCGTATGTATCTTCGTCAAGGGGTCGTATACGAACGACACCAACCACAGCCTTGAGCAGGTGTGGAACGTTTCCCTTCCTCGGACACCGCCAGCATGCCTCAATCAATGTGCATTTGAGTGTCGTGTGTCTCTCTTCTCTTATGCAGACGACCGACACGCATTACAATTCCAAGGACGGCACTGGCCAGTTCAACTGGCGGTGGGTGTTTCGCGTAACGAGCCCCTCCGTCTACCCCGTCCTCAAGGTGCAGCTGTGGGAGTGGGGCCTCACGGGGTCCGCACCGCTCTCGGAGACTACCATCGACCTCACTGCAGACCTCGCAAGAGTAAACGGCAGCCAGCATGGACACAGACACAAAGCCGACACTTCACACACTCTGCACTGCAATGTGTGTCGCGTCAGGCTAAGCGCAGCAAAGCGTCGCTGCACAAGGAGAGGACATGGGTTCACTGCACTCACCCAGCGTACCCAGGAGAGGTAGGCAGAGCAAGACATTTGTCTCATGTCTCACCTGACGACAGACAAATGTGTGGATGCAGTCCCGCGGGTCAGTGGAGCTGGAGCTGTGGTACGTGCCGGGCGATGTGGGGCTCCACAACCCTGTGGGAAGAGGTTGGGAGGAGCCCAACAGGGATCCCTACCTCGAGCATGTCACCGAGAACCGGGACTACCTCAACACTGCCGCCCTCCTCAAGTCAGTCACTCATGTGATGGATGCTGTGTGTCTCGATGAAATCACGCGCTGGTGGATTCTGTCGTCTGCGTGTCTTGATTGTTGCACTCACTAGGACGGTGGGTGACATCGCCGGCACAGTGGTCGCGGGCGCAAAGTGGATGACAATCGCATATGTAAGACGAAAATACACTTCGGTGGTCGGGGCTGGAAGGAGCGACAAACTCTCTTGTGTCTCTATTTACATCCGCAGATAGTGGCTGCCTGGGCTGGGGGTGCCGTTTTACATCGTCATGCTGGTCCAGACTCTTAAATGAACTGAATGAACCGAACGGTGTGCGTGATAGTGATGCGTCTTGGTCTAGCTACGATTCCTTGAATAAAGAAAGAGACAATTGACGAAAGAGAGCTGTACTGTGTGCATTGATTGATATCAACAGATAAATCAGCCAGCGTGCTGTCGTGTCCTCACAGCCACATGTACACACAATGATTGATAAAGGACACACAGCACGTGAAGTATAAGGCACGTCCATGCTCATCAGATAGATACAAATAAACCCGACGAATAGAGGCCAGGCCCACAGACTCCATCAATGAGTGGCTGTCTAGCTAGCATAGACGAAAGGCCTCGTGTATCGCCACCATATCAGCGGGCTTCTTGACCCAGTGGATCAACGTGTAAGACGTCTCACACAGCGCCCTGCTCCGACTTGACGGTTGGACCACATCCATTGTCGCTTTCCTATTCCTCCTCGAATGTCGCAAGGACATCTTCTCTGCGCGGGTGAAGGGCTTGAGGAGGGCGGACAAGAAGGCGTGGATCGGTCGGCCACGAAAGAAAGCCCTGTCCACGTCATGGCACGTGCACAGCGATAAAGGGAGCCTGTGGTCAGTCAGAGACAAAGTAGATAGAATACATCCATGACATGAGCCGTATGCACACTACACTTGTTGAGAGTGAGGTGGGGGCTGGGCTCACTTGTTCAGGTTGAGTGGTGTCAGCCAGGTGCCCACTGTCGCATCCTCCATCGAGAAGAACTTGAGACCAACCTGCACACAAACAGCAGCCCACAACGGACGCAGTGGATGGCATGCCGTCGCATCCCATCCACTCCCACCGACCCCAATCTGACTTACCTTTCTGTCCATGTCGATGAGCAGCTCCGCGACATCCCTCGACAGCCCATAGCCGGCCCCCTGCGCGAATGCCGGCCACAGCTGCAGCCCCGTGTGCAGGTAGTACTCCCGAGCATAGTACTTGCTGTACCACTCCAGATGCACAGGGCTCTCCACTGTGAAGAACCCCACCCACAGCCGATCCAGTGACCCACGCTGCGACTCGGTCAGGAGGGAGCTCATGAGCCGCGGCAGGTGGAGGTATGAGTCGTCGTCAGTCTTGAAGATGATCTGGCAGTCGGTGTCCTGTGAGGCCCACTGGAAGATTCGCCAGGTTTTCCGCAGGATCTGCTCGTAGCCCTCGCCCGTCTCAGCGCCATTATCCGTTAGGTAGATGATGTCGCCGTGCTGCTGCGCCTCGGCCATTACCCTCGCCGCCACGTCGTCACTCAGTGCAGACTCGTTTGTCGGCGGCCGGTCGAGAACGAAGACGGTCTTAGAGTGGCCGATGACCGTGTCGCCCCACCATGCCTCCCTGCTCGCCCACGTCGCCCGAATGGCGTCGCGCAGATGGAAGTTGCTCGCACGGCTGAGAATCCCGACCCCCACTAAACACGAGTAGGTATCGGCCAAAGCGTCCTCAAGCTCGACAAGAGATCTCCCATGTGCAGCGGTTCGATGCGGCCCTCTGTGTGGCGAGTGGACGAATGACGCATCCAGGTGGTCGAGGACGCTCCCCATGTTCTTGGATGGCGTCAGCATGGCTTGGCTGCGGAACCATCGCTCCAACGACACCCATGACGCTTGCAGAGATGAGACTAGAGGAATGCCGACCCGGCGGGAAGCTTTCTCCACCACCGGTGCAGCTGCCGGGGCCGCCAGAGGCCTCGGGATGCCATTATCTCCGTCAGAAAATCCCTCCTCAGACGCTGTAGTTGTCCCCAGTCCTAGCCACAAGACCACGAGTATAAGACCAAGTGCGGACAGACAGCTGACGACCACCAGCAGCCTCAGGCCCTTCTGTGGACATCTCGCAGGCACCGGCCCGCCGACCCTCACCCACACTCGCCAACACGCCCGCATGCTGCGCTCCCACGGCGAGTCAGCGGCACTCTTGTGCTCATCAGGGTCATCTTGAGTGCCGTCCGCACACACCTGATGAGGTCTCTTCTTGCGCTGGATGCCGACGACGCTTCCAAAGGGGCTCTGCATCAACTGAGCAGGCATGGAGTGCTGTGCATGCCCTCGCGGGTCGGAGGGCCTTGAAAACGGCGGACGACGAAAGCAGGGGACCTCGGGATCTACTGTTGCCGCATCGTCGATGCCTGGTTGCGGACCTGCAGAGTCTGAGAGCGGTGGCATCGGCAGATGAAAGAGATGACTGGCTGCTGATGCGGTGTCCTCCATGCATAAGCATCCCCTTGGCTGTGCAGTCGAGAAACCGCTGCTGGGCAGATCCACTCAGCTAAGCTCGCAGATGGTGCTGCTCGTGTGTTGAGCAAAAATGGCATCAACGGTGTTGACGCAGCCACGGCAGTGCTAAGCTTGCTGTGCTGAAGACGAATCTTGCCTCTGTCTTTCTCTTTGACCCCCGCATCTACTCATCACAGAAGATCTCTGGTCGCAGCACGTGCCGTATCCCCTTCTGGCCCTCCAGCGCAACTCAACTCATCGCTCATGAGTGATCTGGAGTGTTTCACCTTTCCCAAGTACGAAACCAAGAAGATAGGCGGCGGCAACTATCGCCTCATCGTGCTCGACCCAGCCCTCGCTCACTACAACGTCCGCAAGTGGACTGGCAGACGGGGCGCATCGGAATTCGCCGGCGAGCAGCCTGACCTTCCTGCACCAGCGAGAGGTCGGCCTGCTGGAGATGTGCGGTGGGACGATGAGATAGATGAGGATGTGGAGGGCGTGGAGCAGGAGGGCGACCAGTGGATCTGCCGCGTACATGCCCTCCCGGAGACAAGAGGCGCGGTAAGTCCGACCAACAATACGCGCCATGGAAGCGAAGCACTCATCGCATCGTGTGTGACGCTTTCTGTGCCCTTCGTTCGTGTGTGTATCATTCAGATAGTGGGCAAGCAGGGGCAGCGGCGCAAGAGGCTGGAGGAGGCCAACCAGGTCCGCATCAAGATCCCCGGCCCAGATGCGTCTGCAGACGAGCCGGTGGTTATCACAGCGCCCATGAAGGAGTCGGTCCTGTCAGCCAAGGCCGAGGTAGAGATCATCATCGAGCGTGAGATGGACCGCCTGCCCTACACACACTTCATTTCCCTCCCACTCACCGGCGGCGACGTCGTCTCACGAGTGGAAAAGTGGCAGCAGGACGCCATGCGCCGCGGCTACCGCAGCATCGACGGGAGCCTCTTCATGCCTGCGAGGCGGCTTCACTTTACTGTGTGCATGCTGCGGCTGCACACTCAGGCGCAGGTGGACAAATGCGCCCAGCTGCTCCAATCGCTGTCCAAGGACATATATGACGCCGTCAACACCAGGACGGTGCTGGTGCGGCTCAAGGGCTTGTTCATCCTCAATGACGATCCATCCAGGTGGGTTGGGTGAGCGACACACACAGATGTTCTCTGTTTGTGCTGTCACGTCACTTGTGTCATCCATCCATCCATCCATCTGTCTGTCAGTGTGGACGTGGTGTACACGGGCGACCGTGAGAAGAAGGAGGTGCAGCAGCGCATCAACGCCATGTGTGACGTCATCTTCAAGGCCCTCATCCACGAGGGCCTCACGTCGCCGAGCGAGCTGCACCGGCAGCGGCTGCTCGACACATCTGGCACCTCAGCACACCTCAACCTCCACGCCACACTCATCAACACCAAATACAGATACAAAAAGGTCAGCCTGGCAGGCACCGAACACATCCTCTCTGCATCAATCGCATCATGGATGTCCCTGCTCTTCTCTCTCTCTGTGTGTCGTCAGGCCGCCGTGCCGCCGCCCTCTCCCTCCCCGGATGCTGAGTATGCGGATGACCCAGACTGCTCGCAGCCCACCCGCGGCCGCACCAATCGACCTCGCGGCAGAGGGGGCGGCCCGCCCTCCGCCATGCCGCCAGGAGAGCCCATCGATGCCACCGGGCTGCTGCGGGACTTCGCCAATGCGGTGGACTATGGTGAGGTGCGTGTGCCTGGTGTGCATCTGTCGAGGCTGGATGCATTTGACGAGTCAGGGTACTATGAGAAGGTCGCCGCTGTGGCACTGCCTTAGTGCAGTGCATGCATGTGTGTGTGTGCCGTGAGCAAGCCTTTATGCTGACAGGGGTGTTTTGTGTTGAAGTTGCCTATGAGATTTGATGGTCTTATCGTGCCGCACGCTTTGGATTATATCGTTGGACCTCATAAGATCGCTCTGCAGTGTCTGTCTGCTCTTCTTTTCGTCTGATTCGTCGTGGGACACGATGAAAGTCTCTCTCATTCGACGCAGGCTTGCTTGCTTTGTTTCTGTCTATGTATCGATGTATCTATCTCGCTGCTGGTCGTTCTGTTGTCATATTCACTGCTGGCTTTCCTTGTCTTTGCACTGCACGCGGCCATTTCCTCCCTCCCTCCCTCCCTCCCTCCCTCCCTCCCCATCCATCCAGACAGCCAGACAGCCAGGCAGGAGAGCTGGCAGCCAGGGAGAGGAAAGTGAAGAGGAAGAGAGCAAAGTGGCGAAGGAACGCACACACATCCATTCATTCACCCGCATCCATCCATCCATCCATGCCACACACGTAAGTAACACGCAATCCCCGCATCCATTCCCTCCCCTCTCCCTAGACCGCACCGTCTCAAACGCAAAACATCCACCCCACACCGCACCAGTCACGCCATTACTTGGGCGACGGCCGATGGTGCACGGCCGGCCCGTGATGGCCACCGACAGGGCTATCTCCCCCTCGACCGCCCCGCCCTCCTCTCGGCCGGCCCGCCCCCATCGCCGCCGCCTGGCCCGCCCCTGTGGCCGCGCCATCCGCCGTCCCGCTCGTTCTGTCGGGTGTTTCCGTTGTGGCGGTAGTTGCCATGCTGCTGTCCATTGGCACCTGGGCTGGGCAGGATGGTGGGGAATCTCTGCTGCTGCTGTTGCTGGTTGTCGGGCTGGGCATTGCCGTACTGGTTCATCTGGCCGTAGTTGGCACCGTAGGCGTTGTAACCCGGCCCGTACCCACCATACGCCGGCTGTTGGTGGTGGGGATGGTGCTGGAGCTGGTGCTGGTTCTGATACTGCTGGTGTTGCTGCTGCTGCGCGGCATACACGTTGCCGCCACCACTGGCGTTGGCCCCTGCCCAGCCTCCATAGCCGCCCTGGTGCTGATGCTGCATCGGCTGCTGCTGCTGGTGTTTCTGGTGCTGCTGGTGCTGCTGGCCGCTCATCATCGCCGCCTGTCCGTGGTGGGCAGCGTAGCCGCCGGCCGGCACACCTCGGTTGGTGGCCGTGTGGTGGTACTGGGTGGCGCCGGGCTGGCCCTGCTGCCCATGACCTCCCTGCTGTCGCCCGTTGCGATGATGAGTGCGGTGGTTGTGCTGGTTGTGGGGGCGAGGCGAGGGCGTGAGTGGCGGGAGCGGCGGGCGGCGCGTGGCGTTGCTCTGGGGCGAACCGGGGGATGGCATCCCTCCGGCATAACCACCCTGCTGCTGCACACATACATACAACGCACACGCAACACAAATTGTTGGCATTGCATGGGTGATGACATCAATCACGGTTTGTGTGGTGCTCAAAGGTTTTCTTCCCCCTACTTACCTCAGACGCGGGCGGTGGCGGGCTGTTGACAAGCCCCTGCTCGTAGGGCGACGGAACATAAGGTGGGGGCGGGGGCGGTGCAGCCGCTCCCATGCCCACAGCCATCCCAACCGCGGGGCCAAACACCTGCCCACCTCCCTGGGGCGCCATCGGCATGATGATGGGCGCCTGCGTGCCGTCCCCCATAGCCGCCAACGCCAGCATGGCCTGAGCCGGGAAGAAGGCCGCAGGGGGCACAGGTGGCATCATATGCTGCTGGGCCTGCTGCGGGACGAACGGCTGAGCCACAGGGACGCCCTCGCCCTCAGTAGCGGGGGGCGGCAGCGTAGCTGGAGGCTCCAACACCACTTCGGCCTCCTTGTCCCCCTCCCCTCCCCCAGAGGATGCAGCGGGCTCCACAACGACTGGCGGCGCTGGCGGCAGAGAGTGGACCGAGTCATGGATCGACGGGGGCGGCACGGCTGCGGGCGGCTGCTGTACCTGAGGCTGGGGCTCCTCAGCGACAGCCGCAGGCAACCCCTCGCCATTGCCGCCCTGCATGTCCTCAGTCTGCATGCCCGACTCACTGGTCGCTGCCGGCTGGGGAACGGCACCCACACCCACACCCACACCAGCATCTTGCTGCTGCCGCTCCTGTGGCCCCTCTCGTGTCGCCTCTCGCTCTCCATCTTCCCCCTGCTGCCCTTGCCCGTCGTGGGCCTGGCCCTCCTGCTCTTCTGGCTGTGGCTCCACTGGCTGTGGCTCCACTGGTTGTGGCTGCTCAGCCACTTGGACGAAGCGCAGACCAGTCGCATCAACTTGGAACTGGTGGCCCGCCGGCGGGCTGTAGTAACCCGGTCGATCGCCGCCCGTCGGCTGCATGCCGAAGTAGGCAAGGGGGCTGAACGCCTCAGGAGGCTGCCGGCCGCCCATCAGCTGGACGTTCTGACCCAACCACTGCATGGCGTCAACCATGACGGCATCGATGGGAATATCGCCCCGCGGGCATGGCGGCGGCTGCTGCATTCAGAGAGAGGGAGCGAGGGGAAGGAGCGATGATTTCGGGACTATCATCTGGTGTTGTCGATTGTCTTACATCGTCTGTGCCTTGCTGATCTGGGTCAGCACGAGGCTGCTCCGGATCAGGTGCCGGCGGCTCGTCAGCAGGCCGCTCGTCCACAGCGTCAGCAGGCCGCTCGTCCACAGCGTCGGCAGGCGGCTCCTCATCAACGTTGTCAGCAGGCGACTCGTCAACTACGGCATCGGGAGGCGACGGTGCGTCCTCCGTCTGCGACTCAATACTCTGCATGAAGAAGAGAAAGCGGAAAGGATGCAATACACACAGAGGGTCACTCACTCGAGCCTCTCTTGCCCTCCCTTCCTTCCTGCGTACCTCAACGACGACAATCTCCGTTTGGGTGGTGGCATGCCCCTTGCCCTTGCTTCCCTCCCTCCCCATGCCCTCCCTCGCAGCCTTCAGGCACTCGTCCCTCACCTTGATCAGCATCGCCATCTCCTGCTCCTTCTGCGACTTGCTCTTGACCTTCTCGGCCTCCTCCCTCAGTAGCGTGCTGGGGTCCCGCGCCTCGAGCCGAGCGATGGCTTCGAGGGCTTTCCTGTACTTCTTGATCTCCTTCAGGATGATGCTGAAGCTGTAGTCGTGCTCCTTCAGGTACTTCATGAGCCGCTCGAAATCCTCGTCCTGGCGGGCTGACTGCCCCTCTCCGTCCTCCTTGGGTGGAGTGGCGGTGTCCTGGGGCGTTCGCTGTGCCGGCGTGTTGACATCAGCCGGGGTTGCGTCGTGGTCAGGGGTCGCCTCGTCATCGGGAGCTTGTTCATTGCTCGCTGGGAGGGCGAGGGCAACAGGTCCGGCGGGCTGGGCCGCGTCGGCGTTGGCTGCGGGCGATGCCTCGGGGGACGACGGCTGGGAGTCAGAGGGGCGGTGGGCGGGAGAAGCCGCCGGGGAGGCCTGGGACTTCTTCTGAAGGGCACACACAGACCACATGGGGAGGAAAGCGACGTGCAGGTGGTCAGAATGACGCCCATTCGCATGCACTCCTCGCTACGCCCGCCACATCCCCATGTCACACCCCTCCCACCTTCTTGTCCTTCTGCTTTCGCCCCATCGTCCTCAACTCGCTTGACTGAGGCGGCTGAACGGCCTCATCTTCAACGACAGCATCCAAACCTCCCTCAAGCTCGCAAGCTCGCAGTTTGCTCCCACTGCTCGCCTCGTCGCGTTCGCGATGCGGCTCCATCTTGTTATTTGCGTGTGCTTCATCGCGGCAGCATGCTGCTTCCGGCCTCCTGCAGCTCGTCCTGCAGCAAAAGTCCGCAGCCTCATCGCTCCATCATCTGTGCGCCTCGCTGCGCAGCCGGCCGTCACTGCTGCTGCTGCTCCAAATGAGCTGCCGGAGATGGTATCTGAAACCCCTGGCCTCGGGGATGTCCTGAAGGACCAGACATTTTATCGTGCTGGGAGCGGCGAGCCCGTCCAAGTGAAAGACCTGCTGGAGGAAGGGAAGCCGGCCATTGTTGTCTTCCTCCGGCATCTGGGTGAGTTGCTTGCACTGGATGGGGGCCTCATTGATGCGTGGGAGATATATGTGCCCTCGATCCTGCTGCCGTGGGTCAGGCTGAGTGTACTGCTGGCAGCTGATGGAGGAGTTGACGGCGGCGCTTCCGGCCCTTGAGCGCGCCAGAGTGACTCTTCTCGCTGTCAGCATCGGCACTCCTGACAAGGCCAAGAAGCTGGTGGATGATCTGGGCTACCTCAATGACCAGATCTTGTTCGTTGACATCCCTCCTGACCTCAAGTGAGTGAATGTGAGGGGATGAGATGAGTGAGAGAGAACACATGATCCATCCATCACTCGCCATCCATCTGCCGACCGACTGGGACGGCGTGTTTCCTTCCTTCTGGTTTTGCTTTGCCTGTGTGTCAGGGCCTACCGAGCGGTTGGCCTCCTTCCCTCGTTCTTCACGAGGCCTCGTCGGGTCCCACCCGATCTAGGTGGCCCCTTGCAGCTGCTGAACCCATTCCGATTCCAGGAGAATATCCGTGTCATCCGGGAGCAGTTCGACGCCTTTCTGCCGCGGAAGGAAATCGCTGACAAATGGCGCCCCCGCCCCTACGCACCCACACAGGTAGACGCGTATAGCCGCCCTCACGCACCGCACATGATGCGATTTCCATTGTGGTGTACGCTATGCCCCGTCGTGTGTTGCGTGTATCGCCCAGGTCAAGGCGGTATCCCAGCAAGGTGGCGCTTTTGTCTACGACTCGAAGGGAGAGCTGATCTTCGCTTCTCGCGATCGCATACCTCCTGAGTATGTGCCTGTGCCTGAGCTTCTCGACATTGTGGGCGTCAAGACAGCTGCTGCATAAGCTGTGGGTGTGTCGTGTGTGGTTTTTCCGCTGTGGGGGCTCTGCTGATGGCAGAGAGAGATGATCCCTGATGGCCAGGCGAGATAGACGGACCGCATTTGTTTTGGCTGAGTGAGAGGCATGGCGTGCAGCCTTGCCCGTGTGCTGTGCATGTGTGTGTGCCCTTCTGTGACGGCTGGTCGACAAGTCCATGTGTCTGTGGAATCGGTCTGGCCTGAGAGTGTCTCGCTCCCACTGATCTCCTGTGCCGGCGGGGGAGGGAGTGCAGGCAGGGGCGCACCACTGTGCTCTGGGGTGTGCTGTGTGGACACGCTTCTCGCCAATCTAAATGCATTCATTCATTCACTGTCAGGTCACCATGTAGACGTGTAGCGGAAAAAACCCCAGAGAGATCCGCACATATCATTAATCACGTCCTTTCACTGACCTAGCTTAGCTGGGCAGCTGCACTCTCCCCTTCCCTCCCTTCAGGGAGCTCTTCTTCAGGAACCTCATCTTCCGTTTGGTCATGCCCTTCGGCATTTGCAGCTGGCCCATCTGGCTGCCAACCTCGCTGTCAAGCCCCTCCTCAATGTCGTCACCATCAGCATCCTCCCCTCGCCCAAGGCCGAGCTGCTCCCGCTCCTTCACAATGGCCAGCAGCCCATCGTCGTCATCACCTTCATTGTCAGCCACATCTCTCCCGCCATCCTCCCCCTCTGCCAAGCCCCTCCACCCCGACTCCGCTGATGGCGGCATCTCCACATGTCTCAGCTTGCCGGTGCAGAAGTGCTGCACCACCATCCTTGCCGTTCGGAAGAGGTCCGGCTGCCCGCCTTTGCCCCCACTGTGGTACCCTCGCACGTGGGCCAGCGCCGTCAGGAAGGTCTGCGCGTCCACCCTGCCGGTGCGCAGAAATGAGCGCTGAAGGGCATCGAGCATGGGCTGATGCGCGGCCAGGTGCCGCCCTCCCTGCTGCTGGTGTGTGTCGCTGCTGTCTTGGTCGCGTGTTGGGAGGGCTTCCGGTAGGTAAGTAGCGAGCAGCTCGGGCGTGATCTTGTCGCAGACCAGCTGGACGGGGGGGAGAAAGTCGCCCCTGATGCATACATAAGGGACAGCCAGAAAGAAACGCATCTGCACTAGGTAGATACTCTCTTGTGCCAGGAGGTGGATCTACCTGAGCGATTCGACAGGAAGCACCCCGTTTATGACCAAAGCGGCCTTCGACGCGACGATCGACGGAAAGACCAAACCTGCACACCGCACATATTCAATGCAACACATCCATCCATTCTGCACGTATCAGGGAATGCACACACCACACTGGTTTGTGCACTTTGTCTGATGTGACCCTACATTACCTGGGCAGTCGCAGATGATGATCTGGTAAGCGGGCAGGTGGAAGGTCTGGAAGTGCTTGGTCTTGCCGGGGGTGCGGCTGACCGCCACCCTCTTGGCCTTCACAAGCGCATTGATGAGGCTGCTCTTGCCCACGTTCGGGTAGCCCACCATGCCCACCGTGTACATCTCCTCTTCTGCAGCACCGCCCTCCCTCCCTCCCATGTCCTCCTTCCTCAGCCCTGCCACCCAGGTTTTGAGGTACTGCAGCAGCTGCTCGCAGCTGAGGACGTCGGTGCCATCCCCGACGTATACCTCGTCCTCCAGGTTGCCGTAGCCCGTGTTGATGTCGAGATCCAGGTCGGCCAAGAACTGGTCGGACGGGGCGAGGGGCTGGGGGTGGTTGGAGGGGCCCGCACCAGGCGATGGGGATGACGATGGATGGTGGAGGCGCGCGGGGTCGTCCTTGACGGAGAGGCCGGAGCGGCGTAGCTCACGCAAGGCCGAGAAGAAGATCACCGGCACGCCCTGACCAAGGCAGAGAGGTTGGGTGCGTCCGAATGTGTGTGACACGCATGTGTGAGTGTCAGATACCCACCTGCTTTTGGAAGTAGTGGACCCACTGTCTCCTGATGTCCCTGGAGAGGAAGTCGGCCTTGTTGAGCACCAGCAGGGAGTGCTTGCCGGTGTTCATCTCCTTGACGTACTTCTCCAGGTCCCCACACCGGTAGAACAGGGGGTGCCTGGCGTCGCATATCTGGAGGACGATGCGGCTCCGCTCAATGACCCGCCACAGCTGCCGCCACACCTCGATGTTCTTCTCATACGGCGTCATCACCTGGCCCTGCGCCTCCTCAATGTGCGCCAGACGACGCCGCCAGGAGAGGAAACTCTGCTGCTCGAGACGGTCGAGCTCCGCCGCACTGATGCCGCCAGACCCCTCCTTTGGGCCCTTGCTGTCCTTCCTGCGTCTGGGAGTGTGCCGAGACTGTGGGTATCGTGGTCCTGGGGCTGGGTAGGGGGGTTGAGCTGGCTGAGAAGGGGGCGAGGATGCGGTCGCCACTTGATCTTTTGCCGCGTTGGTGGGACTATCAGCAGCCGCATCAGCATCCTCCGATGGCTCGTCGTCCTCGCTCTCGTCCTCATCATGCGCATCCTCACCCTCCTCACCTTCTGATGCGCCGTCGAGGCCCTCGTCGCCGCCGAGATCTCCGCCATCGATGTCAGACTCATCGACATACTCATCATCGAACACATCGTCATCCTCACGGTCGTCACCGTTGGCATGTGGCGCAGGCAAGGGCTCAGCAGCAGCTGCTTGGCTGTCGGGAGGGGGGTGGTCGGCCGCGTCACTCGCTTGCTGCTGATGCCTCTTGAGGAAGTTCATGGGCCGTCTTGGTATTGGCACACTGATCTCGCTGACGCCGCCATACAGCCGTCCCTTTGGCGCCGCCCTGGGGTGCTGCTGCGGGTGGTCTAACGACACGACCATGGTGCTGCGGTGCACCTCCACCTCATGCTCCTCCTTCTGCGCCAGCACCGACTCTAGGTACTCATCTAATGCATTCCGCTCGATGATGGACTTGAGGTTCTTGGTGCCGCCAGTGGCTGATGTGCTGTGGAGATTGAGGTCAAGGCTGTGCTTGCCAGCGGCACGGCTATCGATGGCTCGGCGCTCCTTGTCGCGAACAAGCGCTTTGCCGAGTGCGCCGCTCGAACCACTCTTCTTTCCTTGAGGCTTCGGCATGGTGGGGACGCCGTCGGATCTATGCTGCCTTTCCTTGCCCCCCGCGATCCCACCTTTGCAGAGCTCGCACTTCGCGAACTCAAGGCCGCAACGGCGGCGCCGTCTTGAGGACAGCTGCTACCGATAGAAGCCGAGAAAAAGGGAATCGGTAGCTCTTTCCTTTCGATATACTTTTTGGTGTTTCGATGGGGCGGTGGCTGAATGTGGACATCATTGTCAACGATTTGCTGTACGTCTGCAAAGCATGCCTAATCATCACGGGTGTGTGCGTCGGCGGGCTGTTCTTCATAACAATAGGATGGATAATATGGCCGGTCAGTCAGCACGCACACAGTTGTCACATCAATCAGGGACGCCAGAGCCCTCAACACGACTCTTCTGTAGCTCTGTGGACTCTGTGTTGTCATTTCCAGGTGATTTATGTCGTGTCTGAGGCTCTCTGCTACTGGAGATGGCGATACCGACTGGCGCTGCTCAAGTCCCTCCCCCCCTACCGGCCGCCCGTCAGCCAGGAGTGGATCGAGATGTGCGAGACGGCCATGCTGGAGGACCACACGGCCGAGGAGCTGCGGATGCTGCTGTATTATTGCTTCTACTGTGTCTGGCCGGAGCAGATCGGCCGGAGGGACGTGGAGAGCTTCTTCATGTACCACTTCCCCACGTCATGGGAGCACATTGAGTGGTTTGTGGACCAGCTTGAGGACAAAATGGGTCAGTTAGCGCGGCAGAGGGGAGAACAAGGGCTCGCAGAGCCGACAAAGGATGGATGAGCAGTGAATGGATACATACGTGTGGGTGTGGGCGATTGCTGCCATGTCATTCATCGGTTTGCAGGCATCCGTTTCCCTCATGTTCGAAGCACGACGATTCCGTCGCAGTGTCCGCGGACGGGCGACCCCATGCTGTTGCAGGACGCCTATTCGCGCATCCACGGGTACCGATTCGGTATCCACCCCATCAAGGCCATCTACCGGCCCCTGCCGTTCCTCATAGCCATCAACCTGTGGCAGAGCTTCAGCCTATGGATACTCAAACGATACGGATTCAAGACATACGAGTAAGTAAGCAACGGACGGAGGGAGGGAGGGAGGGAGGGAGGGGGCAAACAGGGCGGGCACTCGGTGGGATGGATGGATGGATGTCTTGGTTTTGGCCGGTGTGGTTGGTCTGCTGGGGCTTCTTGTGCAGAGTGCCGACGAATCAGTTTGTGCGTTTCCACATGTGGATGCCGCCGAAGCACTTCGACGTCCGGCGCGACCGAGAGCGCAGTGTGCCAATCGTCGTCCTGCACGGCCTCGGTTTCGGCCTCATCAACTATGTCTTCCCCACACTCAAGCTCATGCAGCTGATGCGCACTCAGTCCCCACGGCCCCGGGGCTACGGCCGGCGATTCGCCCCGGCCCCCGTGTGTCCTCGGCCGGTGATCGTGTGCGAGATGAGCATGATCGGGGGTTATCCCAGCGGTGTGGCCGACTTCCGGCAGCTGCCGACAATGCCCCAGATCGCCCATTATGTGGCCCAGTTCGTCTACGCCCACTTCTCGCCGCCCACCCCATTCGTCCCGGAAGAGGAGTCCGAGACCATCGGCGGGGGTGGTGCCCTGTCGATCTCCCTCCCCCATGGGCCATCACCTGGCTGGGAGGACGTCAAGTCCGCCCTCACAGGCACGGCATCGACGGCCATCGGCACGGACTCTCCGTCGCCTCTGTCGTCGGTGGTGTCGCCCCACACGGATGCCGAGGGGGAGTTGCAGAAGCGGGGGACGTTCTTCAGCGCTCACAGTGGCACGCTGACGACTCAGAACACTCTGGACGAGGACAGCCCGACACTGCGGCGGCGTGAGGAGGTGGAGAGGCAGAGGGAGAAGAAGCGTCGGGCTGAGGAGGCCCGGTCGCTGTTCGGGTGCGGCTATCGCAGGAAGCGCCAGGTGGACAAGGAGGAGGAACACGTGGCCACGCTCCGCTTCGTCCCCGACCACCGGAGAAAGGGCGTACACATGGATGTCGTCTCACACAGGTGAGGTGCACTCGGGTAGTGAGTGGGAAAAGGGCTCGCTCGCTTTGCTTGCTCATCTTATCTTGCTCGTCGCGCTTCTCTCTCTCTCTCTCTCTCTCTGTGGGGGGGGGGGGGGG